TTCAGAGTCCGGTCTGAACTGCTCTGTTTAGAAAGCGCCTTGAGATAACTGTTGTTGTGATTTGGCGCTATCTGAATAGAATAGAATTGAATTAAATTACAAAATCAGTCTGCACCTAAAATTCATTATCAGTAAAGTACAGCATATCATGTAACATCCCAAATAGTAGACTAGGTTTGTTTGGGTTTTTTTTTTTTTGGTTTTTGATTTTTGGAATTAAATTATTTGACCTTCAAAAATCCAAATGATGCGTTGATTTGTTTTTCAAGACATCTAAATAGTTAAGTCATGAACCAAAGTTTTTCCAAAATGCCCTTTACCATTCAGTTTTCTTTTAGTAAAATAATAAACAAATGTGTCAGTTATATTATCTGCTTCATTATTGTTATTAATACAATGATTAACCAGTAAAATAGCATCCATATTATTGTTTTGATTGTTGTTGTTAGTTTGCTCTTACTACTCTCATAAAGTAGCATGAATTCTACGCAGGCAAGACGTTTAGACAAATAATCAAAACATCTAACTGATTTGTTATAATAAAGACTACTGCCTTATGTGAATATAACCAAAGCATCAGACCTTTAATCCTCACTCATCTTAATTCAGTCTGAACACTGGTGCCATTTAGAGAGCATTAAAGAGTCTTTCATTTGTTCTTCTGTTGGTTATCAGGTCTAACGGGCTGGAATAAGAACATTACAGTCAAGGAATGTTTCTGGATATCTCTAGAAGATTAAAGCTGAACTCCCACCAATAGTACGTTCTTGACAGTTACATGAAATGGTAGGACAGCTTGTAAACATACGCTTCTTATTTTTTGGGGGGGAAATATGAACGTGAATCTGTGTTCTGCACACTTTGGTGGTGGACACATTAATTTGTGTGTGCATGTGTGTATGTGTTAAACCTGCACTTGATGCTTTCCTATCAAATATTTGTTAGCACACTTTTTTTTTTTTTGTTCTTTCGGCAGCATCAGTCCTGGAAACAGATCTTGTGATCCTGGTTCCTCTTTTGAATCAGTACTGTAGGGTGCCCAAAAAGCTTGCAGCTATTACAGTGGGAGAAAGACAGAGGACCTAAACGCGGTGTGTCAATGGGAGGTTAAAGGAAAAGTTAACCCAATTTGTTCTGAGTCAGAGACACCATAAAGCTTCAAACTAAGAAAATTGAACCAAACAACAGGTAGTATTGGCAAATAAAGACAAACAACTCTTAATTGACTTTCCTCATTCTAAAGTGTGTCTTCCTGGATCTAAGCTCATAAAAGCATCATTCTAGGCCCCTTGGAATCAGAAGTAGGGCTTTCCAAGAGATGAATAATGAGACTGAGGGGGACATTTCCAAGCAGGGTCTAGGCAGGGGCAAGATAATACATGTTGTGCCCCCTAAATTTATTTTTAAATGTCCAAGGCGATGCCATCTTCTCCTATTGGTCCTCGTATCTGGCTCCATCTGGACTCCAGGTCTTCAACATCCTCCACAGAAAGAACAGGATATATCATATATACACAATATATGATTTGTTTTAACTACTTATTTGTATGTTACAGCTGTAAGTTAGTATTTGAACACCTGTCTATCAGCTACTACTCTGACCCTTAAAGACCTGAGTCTGCCTTCAAAATGGCCACCTCCACTCCACTTATTATCCTAAATTAGATGCACCTGTTGGAGGACGTTAGCTGCATAAAGACACCTGTCCACCCCACACAATCAGTAAGAATCCAACTCCTAACATGGCCAAGACCAAAGAGCTGTCCAAAGACACTAGAGACAAAACTGTACACCTCCACAAGGCTGGAAAGGGCTATGGGGAAATTGCCAAGCAACTTGGGGAAAAAGGGTCCACTGTTGGAGCAATCATTAGAAAATGGCAGAAGCTAAACATGACTGTCAGTCTCCCTCGGACTGGGGCTCCATGCGAGATCTTGAGCTCTGAAGATGGGTCGAGGCTTGGTCCTCCAACATGACAATGACCCGAAGCACACAGCCAGGATAACCAAGGAATGGCTCTGTAAGATTCATATCAAAGTTCTGATGTGGCCTAGCGAGTCTCAGACCAAAATCCAATAGAAAATCTTTGGATGGATCTCAAACTCCGTGTTTCTCAAACCTGGTGGAAAAACTACAGGAAACGTTTGTCCTCTGTAATAGCAAACAAAGGCTACTGTACCAAATATTAACATTGATTTTCTCAGGTGTTCAAATATTTAATTGCAGCCGTATAATACAAATGAATAGTTTTTAAAAAATCATGGATTGTGATCTCTGGATTATTTATTATTTTTTTCTAGATTATACTCTCACAGTGGACATGCACCTATGATGACAATTTCAGACCCCTCCATGATTTCTAAGTGGGAGAACAAAATAGAAGGGTGTTCAAATACTTATTTTCCTCACTTTATTCAGAAACTTGGTATTCCTATTTAGGGAGTAGGAGTCCTTCCCCATGACGTTTTCAGTGTTGAACAATATTCTGTCTTGTTTTGTGCCTAAGACACTAATTCTTTGTAGGATAACGAGGCCCTGCAGCATCTCTCCGAACAGTCCTTGCAATTGGCCAACTGTGATACCTCTGCCTCTCTTCACAGATGTTGGCCAACAAGATGTATAATCACCTTAAGGATAAAAGGTGCAACCAACCCCTCATGATGAGCCAAAGCAGTTGGTTAGAACATACCTTACCTAAGCAGTCTGATTGAAGAGGTCATGGTCTGTGTATCGATTTTTTTCTGTTCCATCCAACCCAAACAGCTCAGCACTATCATTGAGGGCCCTGGGGATCCAATTAAGTGCAACTTTGAGTCTTAATTACCTGGTTCTCGCTTAGTTTTTCTCCCTACTTGCTCTGTCAGACTGATGCATGTAAATTAATTCAATCAATTCTCAACTTGGATCGCAGATTGGGGCATCTAGCAGACAATTAGAAAAACCCATCTCTACTAAATCACTGTTGGCAAGAAGTCACACATTCCACTGTCCCGTTAAAGCTCAAACTACAAGGTAATTATACCGAGAGGATTTTATTGAATATAATTCTTCCAGTAGAGTCTCTTTTAGTGTTAGGTCATCCCTGGTTGGCAGTGCGTGATCCCACTGTTTTCGAGGCAAGCTGGTGGATTTCTTTAGTATGGAGTAAGTAGTAAGTAAACAATAGAGAAAATGGAAATGTTAGCATTCTGTTTTGGCTCTGATAACAGTGGTCAGACTTTTGTTAACTTTTTATGACACTAGCTAGGCCTTAAGGGTGACTATAGGCAAGACTGAGCATGTCAGGTGAGCTCAAAGGTTTACTATGTGAAAAAAATACGGCTCTCCTCATCTTCTGTTATGGAAAAAGAAATTAAAATTGAGTACAGCAAAGCTTTAAAATAAGTGTTTGACTGTAACCTTGAATCAACTACTTGGAACTTTGCCCTCCTTTGTCAGCTTTTTACAAAAAAAGCAAAGGCTGACACAAAGGGGGGAGTTGATTACTCTTTTTGGATTTCTTTTTTCTACTGGCGGAAAAACTGAGGGCACACGGTTCTTTTCCAATCCTTTAAGATTAAAACACAAAGAGTAAACACTTGACTTTAAACAACTGACTAGTTGGATCAATAAAGTATTCTCTTCCAAACACCTTACCTCATGAAAATGCTGAAAAGACTCTTACCATCTCACTTAAGTTATCAAATGAACACCCAGCCTATTGTCATCTGGACAATGCCAACAGCACTTTAAGAATCATTTTCTTTTATATTTTTATTGCTTTTGATAGGAATCAGTCCGCACTGTTAGGATGAAAGTTCAAGAGAATAGAAGTGAATACAACACTGCATGGATTACTGACTCCACAACATCACATTTTGTGAGACTAAACGATTATGAGATTCTCTCTGGGTTGTGGTCATTTTGGAAAGAATTTTGGTTGGTCATGAGTCCACCTAAGAATCTGTGGGACATGAACTGGCAGAGCCGGTCATTAGGATCCAATTTGCAGCTGGCAAAACATTCCCAAAGAAAATGGTTTATGAAGACAAGCTAAAATTTTACACAAAATTTTGAAGTTTGTGATAAATAACTGGTGTTGTTCGCAGTGGTCAGTCAAGTTTTTTTGGACAAAAAAAAGCTCTGTCTGTGTCATACAATTATCCTGACATCGTCTTTGATATTCTACTAAAATAGAAAAAATTGGCTGGATTTCCCTGCTCCAAATGGATTTGGTTCACTGCTATAGACATTTAAATCTTAATTACATAGTTATGATGTCAGGTATCTGACATCATAAAAGTTATCTGCAAAGTTATCTGCAACTTCTGTGTTGCACAGGTCTGTAATTCTCTCTCACTCAAGTATGACAAGTGAAAACATCATTTTGGAAATTAATTCAAATCTTTAGAGCTCAAATTTAGCCAAATGTGCACACTCAGATTAAAATACCAAGATGACATAATCCTCAGATTGAGCTGCGCTTATAACCGAGCACGCTGACTCCACAGAGGGCTTTAACAAAATGCTACTTTCAAAATCACGTCATGTGTGCTTGTGCGCGCTTTTAACCTGCATTATTTTTAATTGCGTTCAAATATAGCCTCAACTGACTTATACCACTGAAACAGAGCATGAAATCATTGTTTGAAACCAGGACACTATAAGACATACGGGGGAAAAGACTGAAACAAAACAAGGCTGATGAAAGAATAACTAATACATTTCTTGGTTCTTTATATCTTGAGCAGAAGCACATGATTATAAGTAAATTTGACAGTTTAACTTAATTAATTTGTGCATGAAGCATTTAAGAGTCAGAAGAGGGATCCTTAATCTGTTGTTACACACATTAGGATCTGACCTGTACATTCACTTTTTTTAAACATAGACTGAGCAGGTAAGTCAGATAAACATAGTAGTGACTTGTGCACCCAAGCGTCTTTTTATCCTTAAAAGAATGTCTGCTCCAACAACTTTATATGCTAAACTATCAATAACGAAATGACTTCAAGGCAACATTGATTAGAAATTGTTAAGCTTTATTTGAATGTGAATGGAACAGATTTTGCAAAGACAGACATTGTTTTAGTCCTTTAACAGAAGACAACTGATATAAAACAAGTTAGAATGAAGAGATCAGCGGAGAGAGAGAGAGATCCACGTACGGCTGCTGCCCATGTCACTTTTGGCCGAGTTGCGAGAGCTGTGGAGAGAAAGAAGGAGGTTGACAGTTTCTCTGCTGTTTCTTTGCTGCTGCTGCTGTACAGAGCAGGTATTCATGAGGACAGGTGGGCTTTCTCACCTGTTTGATAAACTGAGAAGCATTGAAGAGTTCACTGCAGCCGTAAACAACCCTCCTCCCCTGTTTTCACCAAGAAGAACACAGAAAAATAAATAAATCTGAAAGCAGAATGTGCAACAGACTACCATACAGACAAGTACAACTCTAAGATACCTCTACTTTGGACAACTTTAAGATGGAATAAAATTGGCCTGACAACAGGGGATTTCAAATTGAAAAGATCCCTCAAAATATATACCAAGGCTGAGTAAACACTAATGGAAAAGCTCCAAAATAGGTCTTTTCAGTTTTTCGAAAAACACTAAAACAAATTAACATTGCGTACAGCCTTCTTGTGGTCAGATAGAAACTAGTCATAGGCTTGGTTTTAAACAGACTTCCTAGTTTTTATTTTTCTACAAAATGTAACAACCTTTTTTTTCTGAACATTTAAAGAAATTTAAAACCTGGCATCAAACCTTTTTTTTAAGGCACTGATTTCAAATCACAAACATTTAGTCTTGAACAAAACAAATTCTTAATTCATTATGTGGAATTTTCTGTGCAGACATTTAAAATAAACTAAGTAATAGTGGTGTAACGCAGAGTTTTACAGTACCTTGGCATAGTCCACCAGGTTCTGGTACTCAATGTAATTTCCTCCTCCAACAACAAACACAATGGCCTGAAACACAGCAGGAGGTGAAATACTAAATTCAACCTTGACAAGAGAAATCATTTTAAACAGCGTTGTATTATATATAATAATTTGGAAATTGTCTGATTAATCGTTTGAAAATTAGTTAGTTTCATGTGTTACAATCCATTCATTTTAAATCACAGATTTAATAAATAATAATAAATTAAAATACAATCATGCTCATCGTAGAAAGTTAGGCAGGTTTCTGGAATACCCCTCCATGTGTTTTACAATTCCTCTTAATTTATGTTTGTCCAAGTAATTCTTGTCTACCAAACCGATAAAACTTTTACCCAGAATCACAAACTCACCTCTTGAAATGGGTTCTTGTTCCTGGGAATGGAGCTGAAAAAGAGGAGGAAGAGATAATGAGTCATTCTGGAGTTTTCAGTCACTCAGCAGCAGCGGGTGTCAATAACAAAGCAGCTCTTGCTAGAGCTGTTAACGTTATCACTTGTTGTACCTCTCACTGCCTCGCAGCATTTTTGGGTCAAAGTACCGATAGTCATCTGTTTCCTGGAACACAAGAAGAAGACAAAAAGACGATGAAACAAAACTTACTTCGGACTTTGCTTTAAAACAGATGTAGCTAACCATTACAGTGAAACGTGAAAAACTACACAACTCTGATTCCAATTGGCCTCATCCGTTTGTCCATTCTTTATCATGGACCTTCTGTTGGATTAGGGTTAGGGTTAGATTTGTGATTTTTCCTATCATATATTTTGATGGATGGTCATTACATCCATCAAGATGATGTACACAGTGTAGATCATTTGAATTTTCCCAAAAATACACTGGGAGACTGAGTCTACAATTAACTTAACCTTACCATATAAATTTACATAAAGCTAATTAATTCTTAAACACTCCTCAAATAGGTTAACAGCTGTTACCAACTCCAAAGGAAGCAACCCACCAAGAATTATTGCCATCTGAAGAACTGAATCTGTTTTTGACAAAGTAAAGGACTAAGCTGATCCACCCCATTAATTACTCATTCATCCTGCACATACATGAGATTAAAGCAGGTCCAAAAGACCGGAAATGTCAAGAAGGCTGCAATCCTGGAGGGGAACCCAGGGATTGTAATCTAAGAGAGTGCTTGTCCACTTGAAAAGGCTTTTACCGACACAATCTTATGTCCTCCTGCACCTCTTGCAAAAAACATCAAATCTGAAAATAGTGTGATACTTTGGACCTACAGAAAATAGTTCTGCAAAGCAATCAAATGTGCTGAAAAAAACGTATTACTAAACATCAGGAGGACAAAGGATCTTATTGTGGATGGACTACTATAAGGGGCAGGTTTACCTATAACTTCTCTAAAAACCACATCATCAACGACATTAGGAGGACCAGAAAGGCTACTGTTGTTGAGGAAGCCCAACATAGACGGTATCTCCTCATAATACTGTACAGGAACTTTAGTTCCAAAGATTTTGATTTTATTATTGCACAGTAGTGTGGAGCATGACTTTTTGGATTGCAAATTTGGAATGCAAGATTTTGTGATAGGACTCAGATCCTCAACCAAGCATTTTGGAATCAGTCCATTAGATGGTGGCAGAGTTCAGATCTCTTCTGGCATTTCGTCTCAATCTTTTCTTGTAGGCGTCTTTTCAAAAATGTCAATGTTACCTCATACTGAATGTTAATGATGGTTCATGGACAGCACATCTGAGACACATGAACAATTAACACACCCATGTGTCTGCAATCACATCAGTGATTATTGAAAGACGACTTTGGAAATACTCCAATACCAAGAAATTGTATGTACTGGGACAAAAAGGATTTACGGAGACATATTGACAACTGGCTGCCACTTTAGGTTCCTGAGGGCAATTCTCCTGGAGCTGAGCTCTGGTTGGCATTGGAAAGTAACACACAGCAAGGGGTCCTGCATTCCATTCCAGAGAGAGCTGGCCAACGGATTTGGGCTGTGCCCGTCGACCCTGAGCCCAGCTATGCCAACCATGTGCGACACAATTATCTGCATGTGAAATTTTCACGCGGTGAGGCTGAACAGGTCAACGTAACGGCGGAATTTTTCAGTGAGAACCGGTTTTGCTAATGTAATCGGAGCCATTGACTGAACACACATTTTTATAAAAGAACCATCACCTGATGAATTTGTATATATCAGCAGGAAACATTTTCCGTAGATAAGTGTTGTGGAATTTTCATTTTAAACAAGAGCCTTAGTCCGTCGGATGAAGTAAGAAATAGTAACTTCTATTAAAAATGAAAACGTCTTGACCCGAAAAACAACCAACACAATAGTCGCTATTAAAGCTGGGCCTTGCTTTTCTAACCTTGTAAAACAATTAACAAAAAGTACATTAACAATACATGTGTGGCATGAATCATATCACATCCCCTCACCAGAAAAGCCAGAAGAGGGACCCATAAAAGTGCATCCTACCCAGGCTATTCGGGCCCTGCAACATTTGATTATAACCATGTAAAAGAGGCTAGGATGAAGAATACACATAATATCCAGTCACCAATATTTGTGAAACATCTATCAATTGATGAAAGTGTTAATTACTATTACTCTAATTATATATTTCTGCCCGTCTGCCTCCACTTCAGAAATTAGTGGCCAAATTACTTTCCAAAAATTATTTTTTTCCTGGCTAACTTGCTTTTTTACTATTTTTTATAGTGCAGAGAGAAAAATGTCAGGTGCATTCTTCTTTAAATTCTATGTGTATTTGAATAGGGGCACTTACAGGGGTACAAGAGTAGTATGGTCAAAAACTGCTTAGTCACTTCAGGGACACAAAAGACTTGAGGCAGCAAAGACGCTATTCTCCCAGACAGACTTAATAACTTCTTATGCATACCACTCATTTGAGTGGCATCTTCTCCAGACGTAACCGAGGCAACGGGGTGGGAATGGATGATATCCTGGGACGAGTGTTGACGGAGTGTGCAGAGCAGCTGGCAGATGTTTGTGGAAACATTCTAACATCTTCCTCCCTCAGAGAACTGTGCCCACTGTCACCCTGCTGCAAAATACATCAAAACGTCACTGAAGCTGGACTTAAAAGTCTCAACGACCACTGGGTCTGCTAATGGTTTTCATCCTGAGCGCTCTGTGTTTGAGTTTCCTAACGACATGATAGCGTTGGGTACACTGACTAAAGAAGGTGGGCCTCAGTGAGTCCTTACACACTGCTGCATTTCATGGTTTGAGTACCAGCTTAGCTATACAGAAAATTCAACTTAGCTATAGAGATTTTTAGTGCTAACTTCCCTTCTCTGGAGAAGATGTTCCACCAACAGTGCGTACAGACCTTCCAGTTGATGATGGAGGTCCTTTAAGTCTTAAAATCATCAGAGATGGTTCTTAAATTCTGGTGGAGATTAGGTTGATTACAATTCTGAATCGTCTTTATTTTTAAAAAATCAGTTATTACAAATATTGGTCGACTAAATGGGATTATTAGTAACAGTTGTGTGCGGCGAGACATCAGAAACTTGATAAGTCTGTTTTCTAAAAATTGAACGCTTAATTATGCACTAGATGCTGTAGATACATGATTCACAAAAGGTCAAACGAACAATTTTCAAACTGTCAGTTAATTAAATGTGTTGGATGCATGTTTGAAACTTGGCCAGAGAATTTTTGGAAAATTCCACATCCATAATCCTCCAGATTCCTGTTAAACCTTCGGATGAACTCCATCTAAAAGTGCAACAAGAGCCACATTCAAACATGGAGGAAAATCCGACAGAGAGAATGTGCTCTTCTATTTCTTTTATCTTCTTCCCAGTCCTGTCTCCCCTTCGCCCTCCTTCAGATTCACAACAGGATCTTTGTCTGTGGTCTGTAACTCCAGACGTTGAGAAACCTGCAGTGTGTGTGATGTAAATGCATGTCATTCATTGTGAGGACTGGTTTGAGTTTTCAGGTTTAATGACATTCAGTTTCTTCTGGGTTCAAGCTTTCTTTATGGGTTTACCCTTTGCTTGCTATGTACTCACAGTACATATCTGTACTGACAGTAAGTGGGTGATAATATGAATAATACTTTCTCTATTTACACTCAGACCAAAGCAGTTACCACTAGAATGTAAATTAGTGCAATGCGGCAGTTTGCATTTTAGAACTTTTCAATCCACCCTAAGGTGGAGCACAAAACTTTTTATCTTTAGGTAAAGTCAAACAAACAATTAAGGAGACATTTGTGTTATAAAAAAATGTAATGCCATCCATCCATTAGCAATACCGCTTATTCCCTGATGGGGTCGCGGGGGGAACTGGAGCCTATCCCAGTGGTCAACGGGCGAGAGGCAGGGTACACCCTGGACAGTCCGCCAGTCCATCGCAGGGCAACACACAGGACATACAAGGACAAACAACCACTCACACACACATTCCCCAATCTCCGATCAGCCTAACATGCAGGTTTTTGGACTGTGGGAGGAAGCCGGAGAAGCCGGAGAGAACCCACGCAGACACAGGGAGAACATGCAAACTCCACCCAGAAAGGTCCTGGTTCCCCCGGGATTCGAACCCAGAACCCTCTTGCTGGGAGGCGACAATGCTAACCACCACACCACCGTGCCGCCGAAGAGAAAAAAAAAAAAATAAATAAATAAAATGGAGAGAAGGTATATGAGAATGTAAAGGTCAATAACCTTTACTTCCTACTTCTTTCAGAAATGTCTGAAACAGACTCCTGGAAAATCTCACAAAACATCAACATGTTAAGTATTCTGGTACTAAAAGAGTTTGCTGCTTTTCCAGTGAAAGATTGCATGTGTGGTAACTGACCGGCGAAGAATATTACTATTAATGTGAACAGAAAAGGTAGCAGGGAGTAAGAATTGCTATTTCAGATGTGTTGTAAGGAAATCATCCACTTTTTCCAGTGTTCCCTTCATATTTTGCCTCTTCTCTGATCCGCCTTCTGATCACAAGCTGTGAGAGCGATTTTCCTGCATATATTCTCCTGCTGTGAAGTGTTTCTATGAATAGCAGCTGCTGAAAATGACCGAACCAAATTGTTCCCTGTCGTTCATGTGTGAGCCCAGCTTGAGATGGGTCATTTTTGCTAAGTGACACATAGAAAAACTCGTTTCCTGCTGAGCCAAATAGGGCCAACACAGGTGAATGGAAAATCAATAATAAACAGGAACATCCCAAAAGGCACTCTGCATATCTTTAAAGTGGACGTAACAGAGGAACAGCTATGTGCATGTGTGTGTGAATATATAACTATAAAATATTGTGTTATTCAGTACAAATCGTCAGATGGTCATAGTAACCGAGGTAGGAAATATTCACTCCATGAGCAGAAAAATGTCAATGTCACCACATACTGAGTGGTAATGATGGTACATGGACAGCACTTATAAATTGCCACTCCCAAAACTCATTATAAAGTATCATTATAAAGTCACACTAAGCAATGTCAACAGCTGGAAATTGAACTGCTAAGACTCTGCCTCTGATTGCTTTCCAATCCACAATGCCAATCCATTCTTTTCTTTCCTTGCCCCCCTGTTGTTGATTTCCACTTCAGCTCCACTTTCAGCAATTATCTGAGCTAAAAAAAAATAAAAGACTGGATTTGTTCTATCCAAATTATGATGGATACAGCTGTGATAAAAAATCACTTTCAGGAAGCGGTTGCAGGAAGCTGGAGGAAAGATCTCAAGCAACAGACTGGAATGAACTGTGAGCAGTATGAAACTCACATCAAAGCAGTAAACCAGTGCATGCCAGAAAATATTAACTTCTTTGGAGAGAATACTTTATGATCACCGCAAGGATAGAAAGGTCCCTTTGATCTGTTGCACCGTGTCACTCGACAGGCTTTTGATTTGTTTATATCCATTTTCCCAATTGACAATCACAGAAATATGAAAAGTTGCACAGTTGCCGCGTTTTCAGAAATATCAAGGTTCTCGGTACTTTCACGACTCCTCCAGTGATGTCACTCACTGGCTAATCGGTATCCTGCAACCTGTCAACACCACATTTTTAGCTCAACTCAGCTCGCTTTGAACCCTGAATGAGTGAGTGCTAGGAATGTGGAAAAAAAAAAGAAAAAAATCTAATTAAGCTGGGCTGAGCAGGTACTGGTATAAAAATGGCCATAAGGTGCCACACCTTTAAGAAGCCCTTAATCACCCAAAAGCTAAAAACAAAAAACAAAACAAAAATAGTGCTGGTCGTATAGGAAGAAGCTGTAAAGAAAGCTCCAAGCAGAACAACTTGAGAGATGCTTGGCCAAGGATGTAAAAGGTCCCAGGCTTTAGGTTAAAAGGGGATCAAAGTGATAGATGTATGAACAGAGACAATGGAACAAACAACGTCCAGCTCAGAACACTCATGCACCTCACCTGGCTGCAACTACACAACCACACAGATACCTAACAAACTACCCGTACCCATATCTCCATATTGTCATTTTGCAGTTCACTAAGGGATGCAAATGCACCACTGTTTCCAGGACACATGCACATCAAGATCCATTATGTTTCCTGTTTCACTTCTTTGACTCCAGCAGTCAGGTGAAGCAGCTAGAAAGCAAAGTGAATTAATTCCTACTTGGTTCCAGTATCTCATCCATCTTCCTTTAAAAACTAAAAACCAATTGTCCTAGCATCCCATATCATGAAAGTCCTCCAGGGGCCGTTACTGGGTCACCCTAAAATGTTTAAGGACCCACTATAGACTTCTTTTTTATCCTTAGGTTAGTATTTTAAAATATTTGGATTAGAATTTCTTCACAGGATACAAGGAGACAGAGGTGCGTCTTCTGATAGAGCTTTATTCAACCACTTGGGATGCATATACATCACATTGTTAGAAAAAAAAATCCTCCAATCTGCTTTATTGGATATTCAATTAAAGTTTACACTTATGGTCAAGCTGACTTCTCAACTGAATGAGAGCTGATCACACTTCTATCCTCACTTTTTAACCCTTAGTGTGACCACCTACTCTTAATTGGTAAGAGTCAATCTCATGGATGAAGTCAGCAATGTGATGATCATATTCTTTGATTATTCCAGCGGTTTTATTTTAGCTTCCACTACTAACATGTAAGACGCTACAGAAAATAAAATCCGATAACTCCACAGCCACCTACATTACTGAAAATGCTTTTTAGCAAACACCATTCTGTGTCTCCTTGCGTGTCTATGTGTGACTCATGAGCTTGTGGTTTGCTGAATAGATTATTTGCGTTTGATTTTTTTTTATATCCCCAACACAGTTTATGATGCAATTCTTTTTGTTTGAAAATTGCCTTAAAAATTGACTGAGTGGGAGTTTTTCTTTTCTTTCAACGGTGAGCTTTTGCATGCTCGGGATGGGGGATTGGATAGAGGAGAAGATTCTGTGTAATCTAAAGTTTTCCTTAGCTTTTTGAAAAATTGGCACTGTACGAATTGGGTGTTTTTGGAGATTACTGAAATTTAACTGATTGGCTTTTGACTATTTAAATTAATTTTATTCTAATTGGCTCGAACTGGTCTGTAAAGAAATGGTATTTGTAAATTCTTAAAATTGATTGACTACTTCAAAAATAGACCACAGTGCTGCTGCTACTGACACCATCAATACATTTACATTCTTCTAACACAAAAATAAGAATAAAACAAAATAGAAAGTGATAACAACGTAAAAAATGCACTCACAGGATGGGACTTCATCTCCATCAGGTTATCCAGGATCCGAGTGACCGGAAGGTTCTAGAACAGTAAAATACATTCAACCTTTAAAACTTAACTCAACAAATAGATTAATTAAAATGCAATCTTAAATAAAAAAAACATATTCTGCTGGGTTTCATTTAGTGTATTTCGAATTTAGAAGATAAGTATAAGACATCAGTGATGTTTCCTGCTTAGAAAATATTACAAATCTTTTAATGTCTCAATTACTCTCAAAATATTCATTATACAAAGCCAGATGACAATTTGAAATTTTGTCTTTTGTCAGGTTTAGGCTGAGAGTTGGTGAATTAAGAGTGAACACATGCAGCTTTTGCTACAAACAGACCAAACTCGGTTAATATTCTAATTTCAACAACACGACTTCTGCAGTCTGGTAATATTGTTATCGTTTCTTCATTACTGTTTGGTATACAGTTTCTGAATGGTGTAGGCTCAAGACAACAGTTTGGTGATGCTGTCTGAGCCTTAAGTCATCATTTTTAAGTAGTCAAAGTGATACCATATGCCGGGGTAAAATGTTTAAAATGTTGATGACGGTATCAACATTTGGATACCCCCCAACCATAGTCCTTATACTGTTTGTATCTCCACAGCCGTAGTATGTAATAGCTGGTGGGTCTCTGTGTAGGGATTGTATATAACCCTGAATTCACATCTTCCAGCAGACCTTTGAAAAGTAGCTCAGTTTTCAATCTGGGCAAAGGGCTGTACAGTCTCCAAAAATCCCAGTTACATTTGATCTACTAACTGAAGTCTATGGCCCCTATGTTTACATTATCAGGGCCTTGTCATTCAGCTTGGTACCCACTCTCCATCAGAAATGATTATGTACACCATCAAACCTGTCATCTTTGTTCCACATCCTCTGCATATATTAAAAATCTACAATAAAACTCTACAACTCTACAAAAACTCAACAAATATTCAAAACCAAGAGAACAATGTGCAGCTATGCGATGAACCCATAAGATCCGTCTTCCAGTCAAATTATGATGTCTGCTGATAATCGTTTCATCACTTGGTAAATGGCACCAGATAGTGTTAACTCACATGCTGTTTGAGTACAAGGTTCTTCACACCCTCCATGACAAACTGGGAACCCGTATTCATGACTCTAGAAAACAGCCTGAGGAGGAGGAGCATGGTGGATGAGGGAGGAGGAACGGAGGAAAGGAAAAAAGCAAAAGGGGAACAGGGTTAGGCTGGTGGTTTAAGTAAAGTACTCAAACCTATAGATTGTGAGTTTAAAAGACAATAAATGGTTAATAGAGTTGTGTTTTTCTTGGGTTTAAAGTCTTGAAATGCTCAATGGTAGTTTTATTCTAATATTGTGTGACTGCATTTGAAAGCCTTGAGTTTTCACAGTGTTAGAAGTCATATTACAGACAACCTAAATTCTAGAACACAAATGAACCAATGACTTCAGTATATATTTATTTAGCTTTAAAATATATATTTATGAAAAAAGAGAAAAAAATAAAAGTATAATTTACTGACTTACCCCATGGGCTTGACTCCACTATTTCCATAGTTGGCTGGGGTGGCAGCCATTTTGGTAAAAGCCCTGATTCAATGAGAAAAAAAAACAGCCTGACTTCAAGAAATAAACTGACCCACTAAACAGGGATTGAATTATATTCTAATTTCTCATTAAGAGGTGTAAGAAAATTAGTTGCTTTTAATCAGCTGTAGTTCAAAACCTTTCAGTAATACGGTAATGGTACAACCACATGGTATGTTAAATTGTGTAATTCTGGACATTACAATGGTGACTACGAAACTAGAAGTTTTCAGATTTTCAATTAGTAATAAATACATCTGAGCACAACTGTAATAAAGGCACAACAATAATAAGGAAAACACAAGATGCACCACTACATACAGGGATTGGACAATGAAACTGAAACACCTGGTTTTGGACCACAAAACTTTATCAGTATGGTGTAGGACCTCCTTTTGCGGCCAATACAGCGTCAATTCGTCTTGGGAATGACATATACAAGTCCTGCACAGTGGTCAGAGGGATTTTAAGCCATTCTTCTTGCAGGATAGTGGCCAGGTCACGACGTGATGCTGGTGGAGGAAAATGTTTCCTGACTCGCTCCTCCAAAACACCCCAAAGTGGCTCAATAATATTTAGATCTGGTGACTGTGCAGGCCATGGGAGATGTTCAACATCACTTTCATGTTCATCAAACCAATCTTTCACCAGTCTTGCTGTGTGTATTGGTGCATTGTCATCCTGATACACGGTACCTCCTTCAGGATACAGTGTTTGAACCATTGGATGCACATGGTCCTCCAGAATAGTTCGGTAGTCCTTGGCAGTGACGCGCCCATCTAGCACAAGTATGGGGCCAAGGAAATGCCATGATATGGCAGCCCAAACCATCACTGATCCACCCCCATGCTTCACTGGGCATGCAACAGTCTGGGTGGTAGGCTTCTTTGGGGCTTCTCCACACCGTAACTCTCCCGGATGTGGGGAAAACAGTAAAGGCGGACTCATCAGAGAACAATACATGTTTCACATTGTCCACATCCCAAGATTTGTGCTCCTTGCACCATTGAAACCGACGTTTGGCATTGACATGAGTGACCGAAGGTTTGGCTATAGCAGCCTGGCCGTGTATATTGACCCTGTGGAGCTCCCGATGGACAGTTTTGGTGGAAACAGGAGAGTTGAGGTGCACATTTAATTCTGCTGTGATTTGGGCAGCCATGGTTTTATGTTTTTTGGTTACAATCAGGGTTAGCACCCGAACATCCCTTTCAGACAGCTTCCTCTTGCGTCCACCGTTAATCCTGTTGGATGTGGTTTGTCCTTCTTGGTGGTATGCTGACATTACCCAGGATACCGTGGCTCTTGATACATCACAAAGACTTGCTGTCTTGGTCACAGACGTGCCAGCAAGACGTGCACAAACAATTTGTCCTCTTTTGAACTCTGGTACGTCACCCATAATGTTGTGTACAATGCAATATTCTGAGCAAAACTGTGCTCTTACCCTGCTAATTGGACCCTCACAGTCTGCTCTTATTGGTTCAATTTGCAATTAATGAAGATTGGCCACCAGGCTGGTCCAATTTAGCCATGAAACCTCCCACACTAAAATGAGAGGTGTTTCAGTTTCATTGTCCAACCCCTGTATTTCCTTGTATCACATATCACACTAAATGTGATGTTATTGAAATTAGTCAAAAATTGCTAATCTGCATAATGTGAAAAACAACCGCTTTGAGTTTAATTTCATTCTTGACGAGCACCAAACATGGTGCAAATGTGTACCTGAAAAAAACTCTCACATGTAATTTATTACACTATATGGCCCCATACTGCAGAAAATGAAAGTTAGTGTTAATACAAGATTACAAATTTACAGGTAAACAATACTGATGGACATCAGTTTATTTTCAGATCTGACAGACTTACTTCCACTGTTTGATGTAGGTGAGGGGTGAAAGGTCACAGCCTGTGTCCAACAGAGCCTTTTTGTATTGGTCCAAGTCAAACTGAAACATATCCCCAAACACAAAAAGGAATAAATAAATATCATAAATGACAAAATCAAAACAATATATAAGCTAAGGACCACAACCATAACCATGTTCTTACAATAGCTAGGGGTGAAACCAGTCTTCACATGCTCAACTTGGAATGTTTCCTAACAGCATTGTAATATATACATGTACATTTTGACTCCTAATAACCGACTGTGCAGCAATAATTCCCTTCTATATTTTTGTTCTTTTAGTTAATTGCCAGTATAAAGACAAAAAAGCACATAAAGAAAAAAATTACCAAAAGATAAGGTACAATTATTTAGTATGGAATCCACTCTTGATTCAAGAGAATGGAATCAATGCTGAGATATAAATATATAACATATTTTCATGATCAACAGCATTTTACTAATCTAGATTTAATTTGCCGTGCAACCTGCTGTACTTAAAAGGTTCCCTATGACCAAAAATGAAGAAGAAACATTGAATTATTTGCCCTTTTAACTGTGAAGACTCGGTTGTGCTGGCATAGGCATAAAGTACTGTCGTCAGTACGTGTCTGCATATCACCTCAGCCACAGAGAATTACACAAGAGCTGAGCCACGTGAGAGCGAGTACAAAGAACTGTGTGTCTTTGTGTGGCTTTTTTTTTCCTGTTGACGCGAAATCCCCACAAATCAGTCAGAAAACTGAGCAGCACCCTGGAGAGTATGAGGAGAGCAGAGGAAGAAAAAGGTGACAGACAAAAAGAAACGGACAGGAGGCCGAGATGTGGGAGGGAAAAGGGACAAAGTGAAAGAGAGGATGATGATGGTGGTGGTAGGGGATAATCTAAGAACGATCATCTCTCAATCAGGAAAAAAACACAAGAAAGAAAGAGAAAGAGAAATGTGTCCTTTTGGAGAAATTTCTGAGAAGGCTTGAAACAAAGAAGAGCTAAATCTTCCGTTGTTGTTGGCAATGTTGTAGTGGTGACCCCCCAAAAAAATCAACAGTTATGCCCAATTTAAAAATGTATTAGTCAGTACTGTCTGGGATGAACTGGGACATTCCTCGACTTAGATGATCAGATCCTCTTAATTAATCCTTTATCCTACAGTAAAGAACTGTGCTATGCTTTTCTGGCTATAATACAGTTTATACAGCAGACTAGTTTAAAGCAGCCCTAGCAAAATGGGGGAGTTTGACAAAAAATATTCTTATATTACTTGGAATGATTGGATAAAGTAGTTTGAGCAGATCAAAACCTTGTCCTGCATGGCTCTTAATGAGTTTATTTATCATCCTTTATAACAGCATACTGATGCGACTTATTGGTTGAAGTACATTAATAAATAAACGGAAAACAGACTGTGCTTTGAGTGTTCAGTTCGACTGGAAAAGAGCTTTATGAGTACAAGTCCATTTACCATTTGTGCTCGCATCGCATCGAGCTGACCACTCAAAGTGCTTTTCCAGGACTGTTTGCCAGGTCATCACGGGACCACACGGCAACAACAAACACAACCATGCACAATCAATCAGTTACCGTTATGTGCATGTTATTGGACAGTGCGAGAAATCCGGGGAACCCCGAGAGAAACCCAAGTGTATATACTTGGAGAATATGCTAACTTGACACAGAAAGAACCAGTAGGCATCAAAACCAACAACCCCTCTTGGTGTAAAACTTCTAAAACTGTAGGGAGCACCCCCTGTGGAGGGCATGGTGCTATGACAGGGGATGCACAAGAACAGCACAGGTGATTAAAAAAAACAAACAGGCAAAATGTCAGGTACAACCAAAACAGAGAAATGAGGACTGACCAAACAAAAAAGAAAATATAACAAGTTATATCTTGCTCTGGGTTTCAATGCTGTTGACGAGAGACTTGTCCCAGTCATCTGAAAACTCTGACTGACACTAAGAAGCCAAACAAAATAAAATGACATTTACAGATAGCCTCCAGTTCTTTTGGATAAATTTTGAAGAATACCACAGTCAAGTAGATTGTTTTAAACTGCAACAGTGAACCTTTTACTGCTTTGGAAAAAAGTGTGGAGTGGATAAAAGGTTCATTGTAGTGACTACTACCTTGATTCTATTAAGTTAGTTAGCGCAAACCGATTCATCCTTGTTGCCCAAGATACGGTTCTGGTTAACAATACCACCAGCCAAAATGGAATGGGTAAGATGTGTTCATAATTCTATTATCCTGCTGTCCTAGAACTATGAGCTCATTGTTCTTAAACATTTCAAAAACCACACAGGCTTGATTCCATCTCTTGTCAGCTCTTATGATTGTGCTGGCAAAAATACTTTATTTTAGATTTTGGTCATATTCATAGAACTCCACTGATACGCTGGTCGGCAAAGGAGTAAAAATCCTGCAAAAAGGCTTTGGGCATAATATGTTTTAAATAAGTCAGCTGATAATCTCATTGTAGTATGTGCTTGGTTAAGTATAAAAGGATGCTGAGAATGCCGTTAAGATATAAGGCGTGTCAGGAAATGTCAGGAAATATGTGAAATTGTGGGATATTAGGTGTTAGGTGCTCGTGTTAAAATTTTCCACACTCTTCAGATGCTCCTGTGTCCCTGTGTCCTTGTTTTGTTCCCTGACATAAACATGGAACTGTGGTGGGGAATCACAGAAAGGTTTTAATTCTCTAGGGTTACAGTTTTCCTGCATTCGTGAACTTTTACTTTGACCAGTATGAAAAACACAGGAACAAGATGTGACCGCAAACCCTGAAGTTAAAGTGTAAGAGCTGAATCCGATCTGCAGTCACACGCAGTGAATAAGTCACAGGAAATTTGAGGTTTCTCTCGAGAGATACACTTTTTTTTTTGCAAATCTACTTGACTTCATGGATTTTGGTGCAATCACACAAACGACTGACGCAACTGAGAAAGAGAACCTGTTGGTTTCAGGTAAGAATCTCGAAGAATAAGTCGTTTTAAAGCAGGGAAACATCTCAAACAGCCCTCAAAGAAGAGTTTGAGATCCCTGGTTTAAGCAGTAGTTTTTGCATTCTGTGTAACTGAGTAGCTGAAAATTTGTGTTTACATGTGTGAAAATTCTGATCCACCAATAGATCTTTATGAATTCAGTCAGATGCACTGTTATTAAATATGCAGATATTTCACTGCGTCAAACTTTCACTTTTACTAAATGAGAAAAAGTCTTGATCGGATCATAGAAAAACCCACTACCAATAAAGGCAAAACACTGTTCTCCCTCTGATCCCGGCTAAATGGACTGTTGCTTTTGTTTCTTTTGTCAACATGTCTAGATTTAAGTGGGGAGTTCGCAGCTTAGTTGTAGCATGACAAGGCGAGGCACTGCGACTGGTTTTGAAGGTCTCATTCCTAATGTTTTGACAAGTGTGTCCGAATCACAAATCCTATAATAAATACATTCATCAGAAAAATCTGCTTCACGGCTAAAGACTATTTCTCTTTAATGAAATATCCACATTGGGTATCTATGTTTGAAAGGAATGAGGAAGCATCACGTGAAAGATTTACTATGTATAAAGGTGTTAAAATGTCTAAATTCTATATGACCCAACATGATATTAACTATATCGAGATCCTAAGTAAAAGGCAATGAAGACAATAAATTAAACGCAAAATACATAAACAAAATAAATCCCAATTAAAACCTGGACTATAACTCTCAATGCCAAATATTCTGTTATGTCCATCCTTAAGTGTTTTTTTTGTAGCAAGGCCTTTTGTAACACTGGTGTTTGGAAGGTGTGTTGAAGTGGAGTTACAGTACCTCTGAAGGAGGCTGCTGAGCAGTGATGTAGTAGATGAGGAAAAGTCTCATTTTGTCTTCTGGCGTCCCAGCTGAAAAACACTTTTTTTTTAAGTTTGTGCACAGACAGAAACAGTGTATGGTGGTAGATGGAAAATATCTTTTAATGAACTTCCAAAGGAAAAGCTGACAAGGTCAGTAGTGTTATTTTTAAATAGAATTGAATATACTTTATGAACCTACATGTACAGATTTTTACAAATGCTTTTTGTGTGTGTGGAGCATACGTGTTCGTACCATCTGGGTCACTGATGATGTCCAGCAGCGATTTGTCTAAGGTTGATTTGCTCATCAGCTTCTCTTCATATTCAAAGTAAACGTCAAGTTTACGACTCTGAAGAGAGAAATATCAAATGATAACAGATACTGCACACACACTTTGTGTGTACGCAGAGGTTTCCTCCTTCAAATACAGATGCAGCAACTTCAAAGTACCTCTGCCAGCTACCAGCCAGCAATTTCCAGGAACTTTCAAGACAGATGAAGTCTACCCCTTTTTTTTTTACCAATTTACCATTCCTAATCCAAATGATAATAGAAGCCATCACTGGTCACACAATAATTTATCAGCATTTACATTAAATGTACTGTACATTAAATAATTTCCCTCTGGGATTCTTAAAGTATTTCTGATTCTGATTCTGATTATTGTCTGTGTCTTTGTGGCTCTGAAATTAGATACATGGAACAATGTCAACAAACAATTTCTGTGATCACAAAACATAAAACAAAAACTGTTACAGATACTGAAACATTTACATACTTAAATGCGAGAAAGTATTCTCTGATATTTTTAAAGAATTATTGGCTACTTTCCACCTGAAAATGTATGCGGGAATTAGGCCCAACATATGAAGGAAGATTCTGTGGTCAGAATACACTAGAATATATCCTACATGTTTGTGACTGCTTTAAAATGTTTCATTATTCCAAGAATAGTTTTTCCAGCACTATGCTATGGAGATGCTTTTCATTAGCAGAGAAGACAAAACTGCTCCAAATTGAGGAATGGATGAACACATGAATGCATGGATATTCTGGATGAAAATTCATTTCAGTCTTGCAGAGATCTGAGAGTGCGATGGAGATTCAATTTTGTGATGGAAGCATCTGTGTCAGGGTATGGTAATTAGTCTTTTGTGTTCCAAATTTGTGTTTTATTCTCTCTCTCTCTCTCTCTAGCAAGGGGCTGGATTCACTCACATGGATCCATAAAACTCCGGGACAGCTTCCTGATTGTACTGTTACCAATCCCCGTCTGATAATCTTTTTCCTTTAGCCTTAGATTACTCATTTAGCTATAAGTTGAGTTGAGAGACACCAAAAGTCATGTTTATGTTTAGGCAAAACCTAAAATAAACCATGTAGCTGGTTTGTAGCCGTCTCTCACTTCGGTTGATTTTTACTGGGGCTCCCATCCCAGCAAAGGATTTGAATTTGTTAGCTGTTGTTGTTTTAAACTTCCTTGGTACTTTCTGTGTTGAAATCTAATTTTCCATGCTGGTGAAGATGGCATAAAATTGGCCCACAGTATGGCTTAAAAAACATTTAAAAAAAAGAATTTGGTTAAAACAAAAACATTTAAATAAACTATATGTCTTCACTAGGTTGATGTCTGTCTTTTAGGAAATGCAACAGGGTGACTGCTTATTACCTTGATGTGATCAAGCACTGCAGTGGCAACATTGGTGTGAAGATCAATCAATCTTTTCTTTTCAAGAAGCTCTGGTAGAGAGCTACAGGAAAAAGAAGAAACGTAAGCATTAACATTTGAAATTACACTTGACAATTGAGTGACGCAGTCTTTTAAGGTTCAGCTGACAGACAACAGATACTGAGAATTGATTCCAGAGATAAATGATTGAATTCAGATTTTTATACTTGTTGAAAAAGGTGTAATTAATTGGCTCTGTCTGGACCTCTGAATTCCAGTTCCCCTTGAGAGCTGTACTCTTTTCATGCTGACCATACATACCACAAACTGTTCTAGAGCAACTTTTTCCTGTAAACCTCTTTTCTCTTAGATCATTTCTTATGTCTGCACGGTCTTCAAAAACTCCCTGTCTCTACGAATAAACGCTCTTCTGCAGGTCACGAGTATCCCAGGCATCTAATGAAAAGACGGGCAATCCCCTCAATGTCCTGGCGTAAATGCTTTACTTCACTACAACAGAATTGAATGTAATCGGTACAATAAGTGATGCAAATATCTTACCAACATTATATCATAATGTTTAATGCGATGTTAATCTGCTTCTATGAATATGAACAGGTTATACGTGTCTTATATCTTACAATAACAACACAAAAACTGCCATTTCTTCTGGATCATGTATGTTTCTTTAAAGAAGAATGGAGGGATGAATGAATGATGCCCTATAGTATATATTTAAAGCCATCTAACAAACAACCAGTCCAGCCCTTGTATTCAGCCCTTCTTGTGAGAAGATCTTGTTGGGTAAAAAGTGCAAGTCCTCCATCAAACATGGCAAATTATCTGAAGTGTCAAAACAGTAAGACACAATCCAATTCCTGTCATTTCTGGTTTGCACAAAAGGCACTGAGGTGCCTACAGGCATTGTTGCTTTGGAACTGCCAATTCGCAGTGAACAAAACAGACTTCTTTGCTACTTATGCAAACCACCTGTCTCCAAACCAGACTTTGCGTAGAACAAGGGAGAGTTATTCTTTTAAAATCATAAAAATCCTCAGCAACTACTCTTGTGTCCCGTGCCAAAGTAAACAGATTAGCAAACCCTCCATCTTTACTGCCCTTAGAACTAACTTTTACATTTAAGTGTAATGAGTATGCGATATTCTTTAATGACAAAGTTCAAGGCATTAAATGTGCAATTTCCAAAGGCCTTAAAACCTGCTGTCATCAGGCCTCTACTAAAGAAGAGCAGCCTGGATGCCACAGTGCTGAACAGCTACAGACCCGTATTAAACCTGGAAAAGGTTGTATATCAACAGCTGACTGACTTTCTCCCGTCTAATAATTTGTTTGATGCTTTCCAGTCAGGCTACATACAGGTCTGATCAAGGTGACAAACTATCCACTGAACTCAGTCACATGCAAAGTGTTGGTCCTGGACCTCAACACTGCCTTTGACAAAGTTATCACAGAGGTTAGAAGATTGTGGGAATCTCTGATATGGTTTTAAACTGGTTCCACTCCTACCTAAAGGACAGGAGGTACTTTGTTCATATTGAAAGCTGTGCGGGGTTCCCCAGGGGTCAATCCTCGAACCCTTTTGTTCAATCTGCACATGCTTCCATTGGGACAGCTAATACGCAGCAATAATGTGTCAAATCACAACTATACAGATGACACTCAGATCTATATGTCACTGACAGCAGGAGAACATAGGCCTGTGGATTTATGAATTTGCTGTATTGAAGAGATCAGCTTGTGGATGCAGAACCATTACCCCTAACTAAACTCTGACAAAACTGAAATCGTCTGTGGTCTACAGAAACAAAGAGACAATCACCTTCAGAATCTCTTTCTAGAACCTAATAATCAGGTTAGAAATCCTAAAGTAATACTGGACTCAGACCTGAAATTTAACAGCCACATTAAATCAATAACATCAGCAGCCTTTTACCATCTAAACAAAAATCCAGAATAAGAGGAATAGTGTTTAAACCACACTTAAAAAGAATAATCCAGGCATTTTGTTTCTAGCAAGTTAGACTATTGTAACAGCTGCTCACTGGGCTCTAAACGAGCTTTGAGAGAGCTGCAGAACATAAAGAATGCTTCTGCTTCTGACTCAAACCAGGAAATACCAGGGGATTAGTCTAATGCTAAGGTCTCTTCATCTTAAGCACTGCAGTTCTCTGGCCATTCCTTGTCCTCTTACCACCTTATGTGCTCTAACCACTCTAACCCAACCATGGCTCAAAGAGACCCACCAGATAATGTAGACTGCATAAGAGCTCTCTCTATACTCTCAAACATGGGCTTCACGGACAAAGTGCCGTCTGGGTTTGCGTCTACCTCACTGGACAATTGTTAAAAGTGTCCTGGTTGGGTCAAACCCCTGCAGGTCCCTGTCTCAACACAGGGGTCCCCCAAGAATCTGTGGTGGAGCCCCTTCTCTCGTCATGTGCACCACCTCGTTCGGTCTGATCATCCGCTCTAAAGGCATTATGTCACCTCTATGCCGATGATACCCAGCTCTATCTGTCATTTCCACCACAGGACTCCACAGTCTCTGTGTGAATCTCAGCCTGTCTCTCTGACATGTCCACATGATGAGGGAGAACCATGTCCAACTCAAACTTTGATACAGAACCGCTGCATTTCCTGGCCAAAACAAACAACACAGCACAACATCTCTAGAAAATCCACTCTATACCACTCTCTCTCCATACCTTCAATAAAATCTTCATCCTATAACTATTTATTGAAAAATACCCTCTAAAACATACAAAATTTTTATTTCAGTGTATCCTTGTAGGAACCCTTTGAATAACAAACGCCTGCTAAATTCAGAAATGGAAGGAAGGAAGGAAGGAAGGAAGGAAGGAAGGAAGGAAGGAAGGAAGGAAGGAAGGAAGGAAGGAAGTCCCAGCAGAAAAGACTTGTATGATTCACGGAAGTATAGCCAAAAGTCTCTTAAAAGTCAGAACTGCACAGAAGTGCTACGGTAGAGGTTTTTGGGATTGAAATAGATTATTTTTACCACAATTGCCTCAATTACCTGACAGCAGAGGTGAGCTTGGCTGTGTTGTCAGACAGCATGCTGATAGCTCCTTCATCCTCCCCTTCTAAACCCTAGGCCGAGAAAAACATGTTAGAAAATGGAATTGGATATGTTATTTAAGGTGATTCTGATTCAGCTAAAGTAATTTTTATTAATGCTAAAAGGGGATATTGCTAAAACGGTGATATTGCTAAACAGTTACTTAAAAATAAATAAATAAGATAAAGACATAAAATAGCCAACTATAACCACCAAACTGTGAAAGGAGAATCAAGCATTTCAAAATACATAAAATTAACATCACTCTCATCTCTACGATTAATTGGTGAGGCCTTCTTGAAATCTGTAAGCACAAACTGACGCAGAGCTGAGACCCTCGATTCCAAACTACTGGATACAAATGGGTGAATATTTAATCTTGGTTTATTAATCATTAATAAATGAACTTTTGGAACAAAATGTGACAGAGATTAAGTCAGTTTACTCACTCAGAATGACAAGAAAATGTGAGAAAAAGCCATATGATGAATAAAATGTTCTGTCTTCAGACCACCACGGCTAGTTTGTTGCTTGCTTGCACAAAAATGTCTGTTCTAGTTTGCACACACTTGTTTTGTATATATATACATATTCAAATAATTTCACATAGTTTTTGTATACATCCAGACCTGAAACTGAATTTGGCAGAAGAAAGCCATATCAGATGGACAGAAAGAAAGTGAACACATGCTGTGTGATGTTTCAGCTGCATCTGCATCTATAGTCCTTATTAGTCTCCTATTCATATTAAAGAATTAATCATGAACAGAGACAAAATGTTGAGCAGCTGTAATCTTGAATTCAATAAGAATATACACAGTTTCCTCTGTATCCTCAGCTCTCAAACTACTCAAAAAGTTATCATTATTATTAGTTACACGGCTCCCATGCCTCTGTCAGAAGCAACTCAAGTTTTGTTTATATTTAACAAACTACTAACTACAAAGAAGACCCCTAAGCAATTATTTTGTGTCTTTTATATAAACATAATTTTTTTTTACAGATTTTTGTTTTTGTTGCATTCTTAAACACACCATCAATTTTCTAAATGGGGAACGAAGCTAATTTTTACCCGTTCCATACAGTCTGAATGAGTGGATGTATCGAAACTTTGTCCAAACAGCAAAGACTGACTACCATGTTGCATGTGTGTGTGTGTGTGTCATACCATGATACTCTTCAGACGTTTGACCTCATCCTCCTGGGCTCTGTACGTGTCCAACTCCTCCTGAACTGACTCTGCCACTTCTGGAAATGGACTGTAAGAAAAACACAACACATTGCACCACAACCTAGCCAGTGACCGAGGACTCCTTTCAATCCCATTAATATCATTTCAAAGGTTTTTTCTTTCATTTTGCTGTTGTTGCCATTCCTTATTTTGGATTATTAGCTTTTACTTTAAAATTTGGAGTTTGGTAAATTCTCAAGTTTGGTAAACTGTCTCAGACCAACAGTTTCCCCAAAACTATTTTGGTCAATGAAGCTTACAAGAAAGTCAGCTAAGCTGATTTACTAGCCCTGTTTGTGTGAACGCCCACAAAAGAACAAACATTTTGGCAAGTGGTAATGTCAAATAAAAGACACTGATGCTACTAAGAATCCTCATATTAGTAAAGAAAACACTCTGATGGGTGTTTGGATTCACACTTGAAAGTGATTTATTTTTGAGAATATTCTGAAAAAAATAGTCTGCATTATGCGTACAATGCACACTACATGCACTACTTTCTTTTCAGCCTCCGATTCCTTCAAATACATATGACACGTGATTAAATTCAAGACTTGCAAGCAGGCATGTGATGGAGGAGTTCTCATGTGTACTTTCACCAAAATATCAGAAAGCATTTCTGTTCTTCAATGCTGCAAGGAAACTAAAAAAATTCACAAGTTTGAGAGTTTTGTGCAATATCTTGTAATATCTGCCATCACATTTATCCAAAACTGGGAGTGTTTCCATTCTGTTGATGTAAGGGAATTGTGATATACACAAAGGCAGCCTACAGGTGACATGAATTATGAATCAAGAAATACCATGAAGGATCCAAAATTTTGATCCTGAACCAGTACTTCTCATTTAATGAGACGGCAGTTAATGCAAATGACTCATTGTCTGGATAAGTGAGAACCTTTAACTCTTAAATGTATAGCTTGAATACGAGAGTTGTTAGCATACTTGCTATAAAAAAATATTTGAAACATTGTCAAAAACAACTTTTTAGTTGGTGAATGAGTGATAAATCAAACACTTGGGCTTCGCTCACCTGCCCTTGTGCTTCTGCCAGAACCTGTCAGCTGCAGTGAGATCGTACATCTTCTTGATTTTTTTCTTTGGTCTGGCACCAGCAGATGATGCGTCTGTGGCCCCGCCCTCCTCCATCATCACCCTGTTTAGGTGGAAGTCCTGGTGGACACAGACACACAGATGATCACATCCATGACAGCATAAGCACCAGTGAAAACAAAAATATATATGGCCTTTTTAGGTTCCAAAATATTCTGGCAAACACAGATCTAAAGTTTGAAGCAAGTTAGAAAACTGAATGAGGCACATAAAAAATGATTTAACTCAGTCTTATAGGCAGGCCTAGATAAAAAACAAAACATTTCTTGATTTTAAATTGAAACATTCAATGGGTTGGGTTAGGATTTTAGCTATAAGCAGTTAACAGGATTAACTTTCAAACGCAGCAGCTCATAGCTGAATATTTTGCTCTCGACTGCAGGTCTGCTTATGGTTCCAAGAGTTTCTAAAAGTAGAATTCCTGTATTAAGCTGATCCGCACAGGATTTCTGTTTTGTTTTGATTCACAGAAGCCAAAGTATGATCACCAAGAAAAGGAAAGATGCCATCATCTAAAGTTAGTTAATAACTTAGAGTGAGGAATGAACATAAAATCTGATCCAGGACCCACAGCAAAAGCCCAGAGTCGTTATTGCTATTGAAAAACACAATGAATCCTGAGAGAGGTGGACAGGAAACAGACACCAGCCATCAAAACAGAAACCATAATATCGGCGTTGCCACAGAAATTGTGGAGAGTGTTTATAGGAACGGGGGGACAGGAGTAAGCTCTTAAGCCATGTGCCATCTGAGTGATCTGTCAAAACCCTGTCATCAATTTTAAGGGGAATTCTTTTCAAAAGTTTTTGCGGTTTTCACATGAAATGGAGATCCTAATCCCCTTAGTACTACCATTAGTACCATTACAGCCTTAAATTAACATCCAGCAAATAATTACACATCATCTTTTCATGTATTCATTTAATTTGTACTTATTTGATCCCATAATGAGCCCAAAATCACCCACTTCTCAACTTATTTGGAATGTACTATAGACAAAATCTCTAAAGTCAAGAATGTAGCTCCTTTTTAAATGTATGGAAATCACCTCTAGCTTTCAAATTAATTAAAAAAATCGAACTTCTCCTGTGCACCGTTACTTTAGACAGAGAGAAATTCTCAACCTGTGCACAATTTTCTTCTTTTAATAAAAAATTCTGCAAGCAGCTGATTGGACACCACTGAGTCAGACCTAGACCTAGACCTAAATAAAGGTCAGGTAGCCCAAACTTGAAATATCAGGACTGTTTCGATCTGAGACTGATGACTGAAATCTCACCAGGACATCGTGGATTAGCGCTTGATAGGTCCAGGTATGGTGAAGGGGTGTGGCCATGTCCATATTACGATCGGCCAGCACAAACAGGGGCCGCTGGAAACTGGTATAAAAAAATCAAACCAGTAAATACATTTAAAAAAAGAGGCAATGTCAAACTTTTTGAGTTGGACGTTTGTTAATGTGAGATATGGCCCTTTCTCCCTCGCAAAGTGGCCTGTTTCAGAGACCAATTTTATTTGAATACTGACCTGAACTGTCCAGCAGCCATACCATCTCCAGTAAATAGACTGTTCCTGGCATCACGAAGGTTCTCCCGGAGCTTCTTATCCAGCTTCTACAAACAGCAGACAGAATTTTGAACATAGAAAGTTATATTTAGCTGATTATAACTATTTTCTATGGTAAATTTTTATGGACTACATAATGGAAATGTAAACGTGTGACTTTATGTTCCTAACACCTGAAACAGGTGGAAGAGACAGCATGGAATGAAGACAGGCTAATAAGACATTCATTTGTCAATAAATGCATTTCAGTTTTACAGATGTTAAGGCTGATCAATGAAAATGACTGATTAATCCATCCTAATTCAAGCAACTTCTATGGATACTTTAAATTGGGTCCCTTGTGGATGAAGGTTGGGAGAACACTGATATTTCTTTACAGTTTTATTGATGGTTTTGTGCAGATGCCATCTTTCCTCCTGAATAACAGACATCTCTTTCAGCCAAGGCCCAAAGCTGACAAAGTGAAGTCTCCTTAGCCACAGGAATGAGGTTTTCAGCAAACACTACTCTTAATGACAGGACAGAGAGTTTCTCCGGAGAATAGAAAGTTGCTTTGAATTCCTCATGACCACCATTATAAGGAGCCATTTGAAAGTTGGACTATATCTGGAAAACGAATAGCCATTGAGTTCGAAACTGTATGTGCAAGGGCCGTTTAAATGTGGAGCCTTTAACAAAACGTGAAGGTTCTAATCTGTCCTGAGTTGAATTTGCCACATTACAGAAAGACACTGGGCAACCCCAAACGTGAACTTTTGTATCCATTTAAAAGGAGAAAAAGTGGGTTTCAATTTTGTTAGCAATACTCTGCATGATGAAATACTAATCTCATCCTGCATTATGTATCTCCATTTGTTTGCTATAACTGCACATCATAACTTTGAGGTATTCTCCTGCAGATTACTTCTTTCTCTCCTTCTTGGAGGCATTTTTGTGTATGAAGCTGTGTAGATTGTTATAATTATTAAATATTATATTATCAGAAAGCATCAGATACGTGGCTGTTTTGTGATAACTTTAAGGGAAAACAACATTTAAATAGTCTTGTGCTTTTGAAAAATGCATCGGCTAGTTAAAGTGAACTCACCACAGCAACCATCTCTGCTGCGTTTCCCCGAGGACAGCGGATTATTGGCACAGCACCTGATCAACGACAGCAGCAACAACATTAATCGCGTCTTATTCCAACGAACACATACGATTCCCGAAGCTTGAAATATGTACACTGTTAGCCAAGCAGAATGACTAAGACTGCTCATACTAAGACGGCTCAGACCAAGATGGAAATGTGTCCAGAGATGTTTGGTCCCACATAGATTTTGAAAGTTAATCTTTTTCTTTAAGTTTATTTTTAAATCCAAACCTCCAACAAATTGAGTATTACAGGACATACACTTGAAATAGTTCAAAACTATTTTTTGTCCAAATATATCAGACTGGAGCCTTTTTTTTATTTAACTGGTTCTAAACTGGTAAGTGAAGGTCTTTCAGGCAAAATAGGCTTGATCTTTTATTTTTTTAAAAAGGACTGTATTAGATGACATTACCATCTAGTGGGGTGAGGCAGTAACACACTAAGAAGAGATATTAAAATTATATATTTTTCAATATGTTCATGACACTCTTACAGATGTTTATCAGTCCTATATGCATTGCTTGATTATCAGCTGCCACATACACACATACAGCATTTCCACCATCAATCACAACTTGTGTTTTTATTTTTCTACAGGTATCCCTGGCTTGGAGACATAGTGCTGGATACCCCTTCTTTCAGGAAAGATGGTCCAGAAAGATGGCTACCTTGCCTGATTCTGGTTCTGATGGAAGTTCCTTACTGGTTCTTATTTTTTGGTTCTGGTTTCGGTTGAGATTTTATCCTGGTTCTGGTTCTTTTGGTTGCTTCTTCCATAGTTTTCCCCCCTTATTTTGGTTATGATGGCGTCACTTCCCTCTTCTGGTTCTGATGGAGGCCTTTTCCTTGCTCCGGTACTGATGTACAGTCATGGCCAAAAGTTTTGAGAATGATTCAAATGTTAATATTTACAAAGTTTACTGCTTCAGTTTTTATAACGGCAATTTGCATATACTCCAGAATGTTAAAAAGAGTGTTCAGCATAACATCAATTAATTGCAAAGTCAATATTTGCCTAGAAAATGAACTTTATCCCACAAAACACATTTCAACATCATTGTTGCCGAAATGGCTCCAGGGCGCCCAAGAAAGACCAGCAAGCGCCAGGACCGTCTCTTAAAAGTGTTTGATCTGCGGGATTGGCTAGCAGAAGTGCAGAGCTAGCTCAGGAATGGCAGCAGGCAGGTGTGAGTGCATCTGCACGCACTGTGAGGCCGAGACTCTTGGAGCAAGGCCTGGTCTCAAGGAGGGCAGCAAAGAAGCCACTTCTCTCCAGGAAAAACATCAGGGACAGACTAATATTCTGAAAAAGGTACAGGGGGCGGACTGCTGAGGACTGGGGTAAAGTCATTTTCTCTGATGAACCCCCTTTCCCATAGTTTGGGACATCTGGAAAACGGCTTGTTTGGAGAAGACGAGGTGCGCACTACCACCAGTCTTGTCTCATGCCAACTGTAAAGCATCCTGAAACCATTCATGTGTGGGGTTTCTTCTCAGTCAAGGGAGTCAGCTCTCTCACAGTCTTACCTAAAAACACAGCCATGAATAAAGAATGGTACCAGAATGTCCTCCGAGAGCAACTTCTCCCAACCGTCCAAGAGCAGTTTGGTGATGAACAAGGCCTTTTCCAGCATGATGGAGCACCTTGCCATAAAGCAAAGGTGATATCTAACTGGATTAAGGAACAAAACATAGATATTTTGGGTCCATGGCCTGGAAACTCCACTGATCTTAATCCCATTGCAAACTAATGGTCAATCATCAAGAGACGGACGGAAAAACGAAAACCTAGGAATTCTGACAAAATTCAAGCATTGATTGTATTTCTGTATGTGATGACAACATCTGACATACACACATGAAAACCAGAGGGCAGCAGATCATGTGTAAATATAATATTTGTGTCATTCTCAATACTTTTGGCCATGACTGTAGGCATCTTCCTAGTTCTGGTTCTAATGGAGTCTTTTTTCTGGTTCTGGCTCTGGTGGAGGTTTCTTTGTGGTTTTTGGTGTTGATGGACATTTCGCTCTAATTCTGATTAAGGTTTCTGCCTGGTTATGATTAAAGTTTCTTCCTGTTTCTGGTTCTGATGGACATTTCCTTCTGGTTCTGATGGAGGTTTCTTCTTGGTTTTGATGGAAGTTTCTGCCTACTTTGGATGGAGGTTTCTTCGTGATTCTGATTCTTAAAGAGATTTTATTCTGGTTCTTCTTATGTTTTTTTTTGTTTTTTTACTGGTTTTGACTCTGATGGAGGTTCCTTCATGATTCTGATGGATACATTTTCCTGGTTCTGGTTTTTGAAGAGGTTTCTATCTGGTTCCGGTTCTGATGAAGGTTTTCTACTGGTTTGGGCTCTGATGGAAGTTTCTTTGGGTTGTGGTTCTTTGGAGGGTTCTTCCCGTTTGAGGGGAGCCACCTTTTGCTCAAAAAGGATGGGGGTTCCAGAACCGATGGGGTTTTCATTTGCTAGGAAATATTTTCAATTGGCTCTGTGTAAATTGGACCTATTTGTAATATAATAAATATGCGATTATGGTTGCTCTGCAATTAAACTGGATTGAATCTAATAATATATTTGAAGGTCCATGAGATGACATTGTTGTGATTTGGTGCATCATAAATTAAATTAAATTAACTACATTTGACATTTATTCTACACTGCTGATTTTAGAGCAGTCTGATATTTCAGGGTGACAGAGCTATGCGTTACAGAAAATGGATTACTAAATTTCCCCTTAAGGCAACACTCACCCAGAGTAACAAAGAAGCAAAAGAGACTGTCCACAATGGTGTCCATGATGGTTTCCATGTCCGTGTCCTGGATGTCTGCTCTGTTGATGGCTGCACAGATAGCAGAGAAAAAAATCCTTTATGTTAACCTGAAAAGAATCTTCTGCTCCCAGCTTTTCCATCACTAGTATCATAATTACTATTCTTCCAAATACCTATAGATGAACCCCATAGGTAGACAATGTGCAGTGTCTTTTAATTGAATAATTGGGTGGTGATGCTTCTCCAGGACTCTGGAGCAGTCAGCACGCAGCCAGCTGTTACATTATATTTTTTGAACGAAATAACTTCAATGCTCCTCTGACAGGAGCCATACATACAAATTTTGTGAGTCTCTCTAACTATCATTCAGAATGACTGACATTAAGTTCAAAGAGAAAGCTGTTGGACTGGTTTTAAGCTTCAAGCTGGAATTATTTAAGAGTCAGTGGATGTGGTGTGTAAACCAGATTGTGAGGCGTGCGCAAATGTTGTACCGTGGTAAGAGATGAGCTCTTTGTTTTGGTGGCAGAGGATGAACATGTCATCTTCCAGGGTGATGAAGTTCAGGTACTGGTCAAAAACCTAAGACAAATAAATGAATACCAGACCAATAAGCAATGACATAAAAACAATGTTGCATAACAAAAACATCTTAAACTGCTAAAGACCGCTATTTTTTCAACCTAGTTCCTAAGCGAATTTGGTTTTGTTGTGAATCAGTGGCTAAGGGACTTTAAAATGACTGCAGTATAAAACAATCCTGCATCAGAGGCACAGAGCAAGTGTTTGAAATTGCAACTGACAGCTGAGATTTGTTTTTCTTCTATCAGATTTCATTTTAGAGAGTAAAACCAAGTTTCCTTAAAGAGAAAGGGATGTACTGGGGACTATGTGACCATATTATCTGCCTAATGAAGTTACCACGCTATGTAAGCAGTCAGTCTGTCTGCTCTTGGAGCAACAGCCTCCTTTAAGGAGCACTGGTGTGGGATTACCTCCCTTTTTTCACCGTCAGAAATCATTCTTGTCACCATTGTCCTTTAAAATATGACTGCATGCAAGAGAGTAACATTTTCCTACCACAGCGTGGAGTACTAGTGCATGCTCTCTCTTTAGATGCATTTGAACAGTGTTCGGTTCATACAGACCATTTAGGGTCCAACACAAAATAAGTCTGTGGTATTCCCAAGTGAGTATTCTCCTGCAACACAACTAAATTAGTCTGTGAGCAATAAGTGTAATCACATCTAAATCCAGTCTTTCTAAAAATAAAAAGGTTGTTGGAGTGGAAATAGAAGGAAATTCAAAGTAGAAACATCATTTAAAATGCACAAAGCATTTATTTTGCATGTGGCCACATCGCTTTAGAGCGATTTTGGATTTTCTTTTTTTCCTCCCTTTATTCTTTATGTCACGGTGATGTACTGCACTAAAAAGCCTCGGTTTGTGCTGCTAAATATCACCAAAAGAAAAGCACTGAAACACAAACCAACATCTGTGCTGCACCTGTCTGCTGCAGACGGATAGGAAAACAAGGCTATACGCCATCTGTGAGAATGTCAGTAAAATCATGAAATAGAAAGATTACACTCACAACTGCAAGTCCCTAATTCTGTCAAATAAAGAGGAAAATACCTAAAGAAAGAAACAGCAACTACAAACAGCTGTTGCAGCCTTAAATAGATCTACAGCAAACCCGAGTCTGATGAATCTTCTGCCATGAGAACAGAAACACCGCTTCATTTAGTTTCACGACAGAAAAACAATAAGGGACGGATTTTTTTTTTTAAATAAGGAGCTAGATGCTCATAACAGCTGCTTCCAGTTAGTAATAGCGGCACTGCTTTTCGTCCAACACTGAAAAGACTGCAGTGGAAAAAAGATAAGTGTAACCGTGTTAACCTTGGTGACTTGGCTGACGGCATTGGCAGCAAGAGCAGCGCTGGCGATGTCCTCCAGTTTACTTCTGCTGATGGCAGAGATGAAGTTGAAGTAATAAGACTCATAGAGCTGGTTCCTCAAGTCCTACACACACACAAACACACACCAAACACATATTGAGTGCCGAGTATTCAGTGTTCAAGGCTGCTATGTTTAGATATTTAACTTTTGTTGGGTGGGGCTGATTGTATATGATGTTATGCAGAGCACTTTGCACTGCCTTTGTAAGAAAAATGCTATATAAATAAAGTTTGATTTGTTTTTAATTTGATAAAAAATGTGAATTTCTACAAGTTAAGACTGTTAAGTTATCTATTTCAGATGCCTCAACATGATTTCCTATAATTGAGGGATCAAAAATGACTGTTGTGACCTGAACACCTGAACACAGCATGAGATCTCTGATGTTGTCCCTTGGATTAAAATTCCCACATTTCTTCCTTTTTCAGAACTGGGTGTATTTCCACATTCTTGTGTTCTTTCTTCTTGATGTTTCTGTCAGTTGGAATTGCTACATCCATTTCTGATACCTTTTTTTTTTTTCTCTCTTTCTGTCCGATGCAGCTTACATTTAGCTGGCCAAAAAAACAATGGTAAAAGGACATTGGTTACTGCATAACCAGTATGGGCTGGAAGTCTCAAACAAATGAGAATAACAGAGCTAAACTCCTACGAGACTTCCAGATCCAGACTAATAAGCAGGTCATGGCTAACCGAGGTACACTGTGCTGGTCGACACGAAACTGAAGGAAGCAGCAGATATAGATGTAGCAATTTCAAGCAACATGAATAAGTCAAACCCTCAAGGAGATGAATGAGGAAGTAGAAAAAGGAGTGGAAAATCAGTAAATGGTTACTAGCAGCAAAAGTGAAACACTCAGGGCTGCAACCCTATTTCTAACCGTGTCAAAAATAAAACAAGGAAAGAAATGGGTAAGTCATGAAACATCACTATACTAAAGGTTTTATCTTGCTAATTGCACAAGTCCTTGTGGATTTCCAAACCTCTGAAATGAACCCCCCTTTTATACAGTTGGCAGACACAGTTGTCTGATCGTGTTTGCTGTACCAGTGTGTGGAAGCACCTGACAAATCCTGTCGATGTTTTCCTCCGTGGGCATGAGGAAGTATATGGCTGGAACATCTGGAATGGGGTCTCTGTCTGAGTGAAGGAGCCTTAACACACACAAGCAGCACATGAAGACATTTTTATTAATTTCATGAAAACTGACATCAGAAGAGAATGTTAGTTGTTACTATGTAAAGCCAAACGAACTCTATCAAGCTATTTTTTCCATCTATACTGGATAATAAACATTCTTTTGATATTCACCCTAAAAAAAAGACAGCACACAGCCAGGCTGAAAGGATTCTTTGCTGTTTTCACCTTCTTAAAATCTTATTCTATATCTGGGATAATCTCTGATGCTTACCATCCTATTTGTGTTGACCCTTTCTTACGCACATTTGTTCTATGTTTAGTTATTTAGCATATTGTTCTTATTTATCTGATAAAACTCATCATTGTACTGGCCTCACCACCAAAGTGATGACTGTTCCTCATTTAAAGACCCATGTGATTACCAACCTGTAAGGTAAGGTGTAAAATGTACAAAAAAAGATTTTTGGGAATAAAATAGAAACATTATATGAAGCTTGGCCATTGTCTTTATTATCAAATATACATTGATCATCAAGTATACAAAATCTTCTTGGATTTCTGTCCACTGGAGCTCTAAACCTCCACAGTTTAAAAGTAGTGAGGCTTTATCCCCTTGATTCTTAGCTTTAGAGCTAAATTAGGAAGTTGACAGATACGTTTGCCAACTTGAAAATAAACCTGCAGGCGTTCCAATAAGTATACTTTTTAAATAAGCAAAAACCTGTATAATGCTAATCAAATATTTACCATTAATGTAGTAAATAAATGAAGTTGCTTTATCCACTGTAAATCAAACACTGTCTAAATGGGGTTGACCTCACAATAATAGAATCAGTCATGCTTACAGGTGCAGGGTGATGCCCATGTCTCGCAGTTCTTTCACCGACAGCAGAGGGGATATGATGTCCTGACCGAACCGGTCATACACCAGAACCTGCAGAAAAACACATGTCAGAGCCCATGACACTTTAAGTGAAGGACCCTTTCTCTTTTGCCTGTGACCTGAGCAGAAGAAGAGAAACAGGCTAATGCAGGCTGAAGAGAAGACGCAAGTTCAGAGCAGGGCTAATAGGGAGAAACAGGGTTACAGCAGGGCTAAAGGGGAGAAACAGGGTTATAGCAGGGCTAAAGGGGAGAAACAGGGCCAGAACGGGGCTAAAGAGCAGAGATCATGTCAGAGAAGGGCAAAGAGGAGAAACAGCGTTACAGGAGGCTTGAAAAGGAGAAAGAGTTACAGCTGAGCTAAAAAGGAGAAGCAGGGTTACAGCAGGGCTAAAGGGGAGAAACTGGGTTCTAGCAGGGTTAAACAAAAGAAACAGGGTCAGACCAGGGCTAAAGATGAGTAACAGGGTCAGACCGGGACTAAACAGGAGACACAGGGTGAGAGCAGGGCTAAAGGGGAGAAACAGGACTGCAGCAGGGCTAATGAGGAGAAACTGGGTAACACCAGGCCAAAATAGGAGAAACAGGGTCAGAGTGGGCCAAATACCCTCTTTATTACCACTTGGATTCACATTGTTATTCTTATCAGATACTAGACGCTTTACGGAAATCATCTATTGACTGAAACAGCAGGCACGCCTGGTATAATGACGTCAAAGCGATCAAGGCTCTTTGTACGGATCATTTTTCTCCATTCTGTCAGAATCCAATGCGCGTGGAGGATGAACCGAAGCCAACGAAGCCCCGTCAGACACCTTAAACCTGAGAAGAGTTGCGATGCGTTACCTTCCATACTGGCTCCGCCGCTGCGTTCTTCAGAGGAGGAGTGTTGAAGTTCAGCATGCGCTTTAAGGCAGCTGCAGAAAAAACACAAAGACCCATTTACAATCAAATCTGCACTCAAAGCGCCAGCACCTATTGAGACTCACACAATCTTGTTTGAGCCAACAAGACAAAGTCAAATATCCAATATTAGAAAATCCTCCACATTACACACAAAGGCTCTACTGTTAGATTATATGTTTAGTCACGTTTTTTTTTAACTTTTTGGTCTTTTGCAGCATATATTACATACAGTGTAAATAAATGAGAAATCATTCATATCCGCCATTGATCCACTCTCAGTTACTCAGAGGAAGCTACTGTTATGCATCCACCTCCAAGTGGTTTATCTCCATTTTTTATATCAGGATGGTTTACACGGATTTTGTGACTGATTAATACTCAGTTTGAGCAGGAGCCTCAAAACCTGGGAGAATCAAAAGATAAACACCCGATTGCACTGAGATGGGGGCCCACGATTAAAATCAATAACTCTAATATGGGAAAGCAGATTAAGCAGCACATTCCTAACAAATCGAAAAGAAGGAATCGGTTATCTCCCACATTCTTAGGACGCAGCAACTTACAAAGTAGACATCATGATCATCAATCTGACAATAAGCTCTCTAGAGGAAAACCCCAAGTCAGAGTCAGTGGTGACAGCCAAATGATAGAGGGAAGTATGCTGTCATAACTTCCACCATTATCATTAGTATTAATATCATTGCCATTTTTCATCCAGTCTATGCGTTGCTGTGTTGGCTGCCTCTCTCTGCTCCCTCTGTCCTTCTCTCGCCCTCTTTCTCTTGCCCTCTTTTTCCCTCACCCCCAACCGGTCGAGGAAGATGGCCGTCCACCCTGAGCCATGGTTCTGCTCGAGGTTTCTGCCTGTTAAAAGGAAGTTTTTCCTTGCCTGTGTCGCCTAGTGCTTGCTCATGGTGGGAATTGTTGGGTTTCTGTAATTAACTTCAGAGTGGGGACTGACCTGCTCTGTTTGGAAAGCGCTGTGAGATGACTGTTGTTGTGATGTGGCGCTATATAAATAAAATTGAATTGAATTGAAGTATGGAAAGAGTAGTAGAGGGGGTATAGAGGTTGGGGTAAGAGTTAGGATGTCCTCTGTGTTTCCTCTGGAGTTCTTTGTCACCATAACCCCCTCTGGAACTTGTCAAAGATCAGCAGATCTTCACTGTCAGCGTCTGTGTCCCCGTACTAGTTCAGTGATACGTGAAGGAGAGCAGAAACCGGTCATATTGAGACACATGGCAGTCTTCTTATCAGCACCCAAATGCAATAGGACAGATTTTCACCCTGGTCACCTGGTCAGCATGGGGCGTTGGCTGCAGTGTGATGGGATCTACACAGAACTATGGCCCCGGGTATGGGGGTCCTTATCAGTCGGGGTAAAGTGAGTATAGAATAGACGAATGGGCTGATGTGTCAGACTCATATGGGGTTCGCAAACCAGAAATATTGTATTGTAAACACGACCAAGCTTTCCCTTTAGCATCTAATTAGCTCCACTTCGATCATTCCTTCTTTTCAAAGCCACAGCGACAGACAGCTAACAGCCACACGTGCAATTAACAAGTTAACCACGTGACTGGTTACAGAAATGGCACTGTATTGGGTGAGAAATAGACGACTTTATTGGCCGAAACTGAAACAGCAGCTAAGCAGCTCAACCGGCCGCTCGTTTTAATTTTAAGCCCGGGCGGCTGTTAGCCGGTGAGAGCTCCGTCGGCCCCTGCGCTTCCCCCCACAGCGGACCGACGCGGGTCCGGGAAGCCCCCCAGGCCGGCTGTCACCACGGCTCCGAGCCGCCGGAGGCGTCCGGTGTCCGATAGCAGAAGATAGACAACGCTGTCACATTACCTGTCTGCTTCTCCCGGATAGACGTCGCCATGTTGGATGTTGTTGCCGGTGACGGAGCGACTGACGTGGCAGCAGGCCGACTATGGTCCGGCCAGAGAGCAGTGGATAACGAAGAGGGCCCACTCCGCCTGCGTTTTACGGAGACTTTTCTCTCACGGTTTCATTCCAACGAGGTAATATTCGCAGACAGATTTATGAAAAGCAGCGAAACATAGTTAAAAGCTCTACATTATATTACAATAGTAGTCTGTATTTTTAATTCAGACCGAGGCAGGTTGAAAATAAAATAATATCTTGTGGAGTAATCATCATTTGTTGTTTCATTAAGAAACGCAAATATCGGTTAAATATCGAAAAAATAAAATCCGTTCTTCTCTATCATCGTTGAACTTCGCCAAGGCAATGTATAGCTTTTTTAAATTGATTAATTAATTAATAAAACTCCAGTATTCCAGTCTTCTCAACTGGAATACATCCATATATCAGAGTCACAGGATCACAGGGCCAAAAATCACAAAATTATTTGTGTATTTAAATTATGTTTGTATATTACGACGGAGTATTAGGGCCAGGCTAGAGAAGTTTCTTTTTTTAAAATACGAGAATAAAGTCATAATATTACGACAATAAAGTCGCAGCATTATGAGAATAAAGTCATATTATTACAAGAATAAAGTCGCAACATTATGAGAATAAAGTCCTAATATTACGAGAATAAACTTATAAAATTACGAGAATAAAGTCGTAAATTTACGAGAATAAAGTCATAATATTACGAGAATAAACTTATAAAATTACGAGAATAAAGTCATAATATTACGAGAATAAAGTTGTAAAATTACGAGAATTAAGTCATTATACCACAACCCGTTTCAGACAGAAAGCTTCGATCATGCTCCGACCAGCTGCGTCCAGTTTGTCTTAAACATATTGGCCAATTAGCAGGTAAGCTAAAGTATTGATAATTTTGTCGTTATAATTTTGCAAGTTTAGGTGGGTGAGCTTACAGGTTGGTTGAGTTATTTGATGCAACGCATTTCCAGCTTTATAAACGCTAGCAACGTCATACAACATGTAGCGTTTAACCTAATGTGAGCCATTCATTATATTGTCTAAATTAGTTGTTATTGCTTGTCCAAACGACCCGCTCCATCACTCACATAAGCATATTTAAGATACTTTGGGCTTGCCATTTCTGTTGCATTACAGTAATGTTACTTTGTTCAAACTACCATTAACGTCACCGTCTTTTAGTACCCACTAATTACACCACTACCAGTCACCATCTCTCTCTTCCCTAGGCAGGGGAACACCGGAGCCGTTCAGATGAAAAAAGGTAAACAGACACAGGCTAAAAAAAAAAAAAAAAAAGATTAGTAATGTTGAATATACACGATTTCAGTTTTGACCAAAATGGTTATAATCATTATTTTTGCAACATTTGAGCAGAGCTACAAGAAATACAAGCACAAGTCTGTTCTGATACCTAATTTCACTATCTAATGGGTCAACAGTGCGTCATCCTTTAGATTTGACACTGTTTTATAAAAATTCTTGTATAAAAGCAATAATATTTCAATAAAGTCCAAATAGTCTGATTTTTCATATCAAATGAAACACTTCTTTATTCTTATGCATGGAATACTGCATATACAATTTTCATGGCTCTTTCCTACTTATTCTTCTAATTCTCCTCATCTGTGACTGAACTCACTGTGGAAATCAGGAAAACTATCATAGCTGTCAGACAGTTCTAGGAGCATCCCACATGTGTGTCCAGTTGGCCTTCTTGTGAAGCTGGTCTGAACTGTAAACTCAACCTCAATAATTCCACATAACAACAAATCAGACCCAGTGCAGAACCTTAAAAATCTTCCAAGCTTTTCCTAGTTAAGCTCCCTGACGTAGTTCACTAAAATTAAGCTCTTCTGTTTTTTATTCTTCCTCCCAGATCCATAATGGCAGAGAATCTGTCAGAAATTGTGACTTTCCTGAGAGGTCGAGGTACATCTGAAGAAACAATCAGTTGGATTCAAGAGCAAAAGGTATGGCTATGAGTACAAGATGAACAGGTTAATTAAGATAATTAGTTCCCCAGCTTTCTTGTGCAACACTAACAGGACTCTTCAGAATAAATTTTCTTGGTCATAATCAACCAAGGTATTTGATAAAATGCAGATTAAATATTCATTCAAACAAATTTTGCATGTTTTCTCATCTTCCTCTTTTCACTTTCAATGTACACCTTCTTTAATAGCTCTTCTTGTGTCGGTGTTGTCATGAGGGATATTAGTATTGTTTGTATTTCTTAATTAAATGTAGAAACAGATATTTTTCAGTGCAGTTGTGCAAAAGTTTTTCTCCAACTAACAGCTTTGCAGCTATGTTTTAATACTGGGCGGACATCACTGCTTGATTATCTGTTGTATTATTTGTTACTTTAGACATAACCATTTACCTCAAATATCACAAAATTGATACAATAGAATAAAAATATCTATTATTCTCCCACAGTGGAACATTTCAGGTGTGTATGTAGCAAAGCAAAAAGCTAAGAAAAAACATATGGTTTTACACATCACAAAAAAACTATAAAAACTAAACAGTACCAAAAAACCTATTAGAATAAGAATCAAAAATGTTAATAGGCAGTACAGTAAAGGACCAAAACAAATCTCATAATAAATGCTGTGTAGCTATCTAAATGGCATACTTAAATTAAGTGGGCAACATATTTGGAAGATCAGAAACCCCCAACAAGAGCTGTGTAATATAACATTTGTAAAAATTTATTAACCAGATAAAAACTGCAAATACCTGCATGTATGTATATCCCCCTTGTGGGGGAGTGGTGGCCTAGTGGTTAGAGCAGCGCGCTTGCACTCAGAGAAGGATGCAAGTACCCGGTTCAATCCCCACTGCCTGCACTCTGGGTCCCTGAGCAAGACCCTTAACCAGATTGCTCCCCGGGCACCGCACAGTGGCAGCCCACTGCTCCCCAAGGGTGATGGGTTAAAAGCAGAGAACACATTTCGTTGTAATGTATGTTTTAGTGACAATAAAGATGATATTACTAAAGACCTATTGATTTTGTCATTGGGAGCGGTGATGGTCATTAAAGGGGCTTAACCACGTTATTTGACTTTTTTTTATAACTTATACGTCAGTATAACTCACTCTTGTTGCATACAAAGTTTTTTATGAATTATTATCATGTCCTGCTGGTGTATTAGTTATTATTTTGGTGTTTAATGTTTTGTTTTTGCTCAATTTGTTAGTAAATAAAGCCTTTCATTTTTGTTTAGAATTTTAACGTAAGTACATACTGCACATGCGCTGCATGGGTTAAAACAAGGAAGTGGCCAACGGCTATTAGCATCTCCAGGCAAAACAATGAAGAATGTTCCCAAGATCCATGGAAAAAAATGCAGAAAAAAATTATTCCAAGAGGGAAAAGACTAGAATAACGCTAGGAATACAGTATGAGCGTTAGTGTTCACTGAAGCAGACGCTAAACCTTTCGAGACTCAGATGTGACCACAAAGTTGACTGACCTGAGTAAATGTTAGAGTTGCTATAGATTGGTTAAGTTAATTTATAATGGTTGGTCTTTTGCTGCTTTACTGTGAGGCATTTCATTCCTCGGTCCGGCATTACTTCATTTTGATTTATTAATTGAGCAAACTGTAATTATGTTAGTAGTTCTGTGATACTGTCACAGCACGTCTGTTTATATCTGCTAATCACCTGGCGGTGGGGCAACATTTATCCAAAAAAAGAACCATCAAAGCCTTATTAGGGTGAAGGCTTGTGTTTATAACCTTTTTCTGATGATCAAACTTTTTTTGGTCTTTTTGAAGCATCTAATTTGGTTATATAACTTTAAGTCTTACGGCTGCGAGGATGAACAATCTGTGATGGCACTACTATTTACACCTGAGGTGGTGCAGCAGTCTCTCAGTGAAGGAGCCCTAAATTTCTGAACAGCTTCATGCATGTGGTGGGAGACATTGTCTAGCAGTGATGTGATTTTTGTTACTGTCCTCTTTTCTCCTCCACCTGTACTGTGTTCAGGATGGAGCAAGCTCTCTTAATGACAGTGGTTATAATTAGCCTACTTTTACAATGGTGTTTCTTTTTTGACTTTTTGTTCATTCATGTTAGTATTATTTTAATATTGATTAGCAGGGATCCCCTTGTCATAACTTTCCTGACAGAGTAATGAAATCAGAAAAATAACGTTCCTTGTCTGGAAACAATTTGTATTTAACAGAATTTTTAGGATACATTTTTCTCCTCTGCTTGTCTTCCTATTTATTGTCCTGTTATATCTTAATTTAAAAGATATATGTCTTTCCTATTTACAGATTGACAGAGAGGTCATCTTGCTAATGGAAGATGCCCAGCTAGCAAACTATCTTCCATCATATGGAGACAGGATTGCTTTGTTCAACTTTTGCAAGCGTCAAACACATTCAGCAAAACGGAAGCAGGGACTTTTTGAAAAGCTAAGGGAGAAGCTCAAGCTTAGAAAGGAAAACCAAACTGGAGAGGAGGAGCCAGGAACCTCCAACAAAACCAAAAAAGCTAGAGCAAAAACAGCAAGAGGAAATATTGAAATAGGATGGGTTCACACTGATGGCAAAATAACAAAACAAGTCAGAGCAAAGCAAGGTGGGGGCACAAGGAAGATTCCTATAAACATTCAGGCAGGATGTGATGAGATACTAAAACAAGGAAAGTCCTTATTCTTTCCAGAATCCAGCAAAGGTCACGAATGTGATTTTGAATTTGATGTTTGGGATTTCAAGCAAAATCCTTTTCCCAAGGATGTCACAGTTGAAATGTTATACAACACAGTTAAACTCCCACTTCTGCGCTTCTATATATCAACTCAACTAAAATCAGAGTTAAGTGAAGAGTCTGATGATAACAACCACACCTGTGTCAAATGTGTTCCTCAGCCTGATGTACCAGATAACGAGGCCCTTGATGAACCATTGGTGGACAGACATTGTTGGCAGGATTTAACAGATGAGGTTCATGTCTCCATTCCAGATGTGTTTATTGTTTCTGAAGAAGTCCTCACAGATTCTACAGTAACGAGAGAATGCTCTGCAAGCTCAAGTCAAGAAACAAGAACAGTTGTCATCAGTGATCCCATAACTTTTTACAGTGGCAAGAATTATGTTATTGAGGATGACGCTGACCCTGAAATCACTTTTGGTGCACAAGCAGGGAATGATGACTCCCTCAGTGACACATTGATCTATGAACCTCTTGAGTTACCTCAAAGTCCTCTTAATCTTTTGCCTGAAACAGTTTTGGTCTTGCACTACTCAAACAGCTTCAATGAAATGATAGAGGCCTTTTCTGACCCTGAAATCTTGAACAAAACACTGAAAGTCAGACGTCTTCTTCCTGACAACTCAGTAGAGAGGGGTAGTGGTTCTGGTGTAATCAGAGATGTCTACAGTAGCTTCTGGGCAGAGTTTTACGAACGTTGTACGCTTGGAACAACTTTCAAAGTGCCCTTTCTTAGACATGATTTCTGTGCTGCCACTTGGAAAGCAGTCGGGAGAATTCTTCTGAAAGGATTTCAAGATTGCCAGTATTTGCCAATTAAACTTGCCCCTCCTTTCCTTGAGGAGATGTTTTATGGGGAGGTACACAGTGATCTGACAAGAAGCTTTCTGATGTATGTGAGCACACAAGAACAAGATGTCCTCAAGCATGCATTAGATCATTTTGACACTGTTGATGATGATGACCTTCTTGAAGTGCTTGACAGATATGAATGTAGGAAGAGAGTCACTGCTGCTACTCTTCCAGACATCTTGGCTGAAATATCTCACAAGGAACTTGTGCAGAAATCAATGTTTGTCATCGACTGCTGGAGGGAGGTCACACAGCCACTGATTCATCTAAAATCTGGCGAACTGACCAAAATGTATAATGATTTCAAACCCACCCCAAAGAGAGTAGTAGGAATATTAAACTTTCCTACAGAGATGACATCCAAGCAGGCAGAAGTGGCACAGCACCTGAAAAGATACGTCAGGGAGCTTAACGAGGAAAAGCTAGGAAGATTTTTGAGGTTCTGCACTGGCTCTGATTTATTGTTATCTGGAATAATTGAGGTTGAGTTTACAGTTCAGACCAGCTTCACAAGAAGGCCAATTGGACACACATGTGGGATGCTCCTAGAACTGTCTGACAGCTATGATAGTTTTCCTGATTTCCGCAGTGAGTTCAATTCCATTCTAGAGAGCAACGTCTGGGTAATGGATATTGTGTAGGCAGAAGTTATGTCTGAATTCTTTTACTTTTGAATAGAGTTGCAATATTATTCTCACAAAAACGCAATCATTAAAGGGATAACTATGTTGTTTGTATAAACACACATTAGGCCATACACATGCTTGATAACAAAAAAAAAGGTTGTGCTATGATGCTCACTGTTCGCTTTCTCAATTATACAGAAACTGAGTGAATGTTCAAGCTATGGTTCATACAGTTTACAGTTAAATGAATGGCTGGAATGTTACATATTGAATGTTGCATTCACTTTCTTTTGCAAAGAGTTCACATAATGCCTATCACCACCAGGCAGATCTCTCAATATTTCACAGTATAAAGAGTTTATAAACCTGGTGTCTGGGTTCTTGCCACTGCTTGAAGAAAACCCTGACAATTGTGAATAGACAAAGATTTACCAAACAATACTTATGTGAACTCATTGGGACAGGAAATGAATGTAGATACATTTAATGGTCAAGGATTAGAAAAAGTTTTCAAAGGTGATGTATTTTCCATTGGTCATTTGCAAATTCCTTGTGGAAGGAAGTTTTATAATTAATGGCTGCCTTTCTACACTTTAAAAGTTAGTAATAAATTATTTAGAGAAATTGTGTAGTTGACTCATTTTTTGAAGATTTATCTGAAAAGAATTATCAGAGAAAGATTTGAAATGTTTATTCTGTGCCAATGGGCTTTAACTACATACAGTACTTTCATTCAGACACAATGCCCACCCAGATACAAGTTTGATGTACTTTAAATAAGAATTACAAATACATGCTACAGAGGGAAATAGTTTCACAGCTTACAAGGGGATTTTTATTTATCATGAAAACATTTAGATTATATAACAACGGTACTTTTTTCTAATGATACAAACTTGTACTTGAGTTATATTTTCAAATAACTGATAAATATTCAGTGGGTTTATACTATGTTTACAAAAGTAAAGGGTGTGAGTTCACTTCCTTCTCAAGCAGATCCAATACGGGAAGGTAATTATTAATGTTACAATAATTCAAAGATTTCCCAGTATCTCATTTCTTAATAATGAATACAATTCTGCTGCAGCATATGCATCTGTAGCTTCCCAGCCATTTTCATCCATAAGGAGGATGCAAAGCTCAAAAACAGTTTCATCACAGGGGTACTGCCCTTTTGGGGTGCACTCCTCCCTGCAAACAGCCATATCCTCCTCCAGAACAGGTTGGAGTTTGTCTTCTGCTGCATACAGCTGTGGCATGCTGAACATTAGAATAGGGCGCCCTCCAGGTGTTCCATGGGCGGGCCTTGTTCTTATTAGGTGTGAATTCCATGTTCTTACAGCCTTGTCCAGTTCATCCTATAACAATAAATGTTCAATTAAAATGGTTGCCACCAACAAGACCCCTTGTTATAGGATAATTTATTTTAGCAAAATATAGACTGACATAAAATACAAAAGCCAGCACAATAGGTATTTTGACAATTACAAACATAAAATATTTGAAGATATTGCTGCTAGGAGTGAATATTGAATTCGATTTGATGAAAGTAAACTATGCACATCACTGTGACAGTGTCACTTAAACAGTCATTTAGAAATTACCTGGATGAGGTTGAGTAAGCAGAATTGTATCAGGTTTCTGTCCAAGAAGCTGCCTGTGAAATAGCCATCATCTCTCATGGTTTTAAAAATGTCCATCCAAAATTGCACACCCTGCTTACGTAAAACTCCCCACCATGACTCAATCCGTTGATTTGCCGTGCTGCAACCGTAAATAAAGCTTCCTTCTCCTGCATAACTGTCCTGGTGATTCCTCCGTAAGAACATCTGCATTTCTCTGACATGCCCATTTTCCGTACCTGGGTCGGCTCGCACCTGCTGTGGACAGCCTCCAATACGATTCACTGTGTTAATGAAGTAGTCCGCGATCAACTTTGGGTCGCTGTTAGTGTAATAGGCTTCCATCCACATAATGTGCCGACTAAATCCGTCAATGCAGCCATTGATTGCTATGCCAAACGGCTTAAGTTTGTCATATGAATCCATATGCCACAGAGCATTGGGTCCCCTGCTGATGTACTGCCGGCGTCGGAGACGCCGTGCTCGCCGGAGTTCGACTCCCTCGGGATCCAAAATCTTGATGATCATCCCCATTGTGTTCTGAGAAACAACAATCCCTCTTTGAATGGCACGCAGATGTAACCACCGATAGCCTTGTAGGCGACCACTACCAGACAGCTCCTCTTCCACGAAAGAGGCAATTTCTTCTGGATCCGTTTGGTTCTTTCTTCGATACAGACAAAGACGTTTGCACAGTCGTTTTAAAGTTCTGATGCTGATAATAATTTGATGCTGGTGTGCTAAAAGACTTAATATTTCCTTATTTGTGAAACCGATCCCAAAGTATAACTTCACAAGATGCTCGATATTCCTCATTTTAGGGAAGACAGTGCTTCTTGTAAGAGTTGTCATACAATACAACTTTTTTTATCGTAATATTATGACTTTATTCTCATAATGTTGCGACTTTATTCTCG